TCCTATCCCTGGCACGCACCGGATGTCTCTGCGTCCGTCTACTGCTCCTCTGCGTGCCCCTTTGCCTTCTCCTCCTGAGTCCTCTCTTCCTGCTCTTGCCGACCCGGATTCGGACTCTCTCCGTGCTGCCAGTCCTACAGACACGCGTCTCCTTGCTACTGTTGTCACTGACCCTTCTTTCGAGTCTACTGCTGCGTCTGCCCTTGTTACTGAACTCGTCGACTTTGCTGCTCGCTATCGTCTAGACTACGCTGCTAGTCTTGTCGCTGAGTCTGAGTCTGTCTGTCCTCCGTCCGTCGGAGGTGAGTGTGCTCTTGGCACAGACGTCCTTGAGGACAGGCAGGAGGAGTTCCAGTGTCTGGCCGCTGCTTCACCTCATCTCGTGTCCGTACTGCTTACCCCTGAGGGAGACCCGGATGCACTTGACATCCCGACTCCGCGCTCTTACGCGGAGGCGATAGAGGGTCCCTAATCCTCTCAGTGGCAGGCAGCTATGGATGCAGAGATGGCTTCCTGGAAGTCCACAGGCACCTACGTTGACGCTGTTCCCCCTCCTGGGGCGAACATCGTCAGTGGCATGTGGATCTTCAGGGTGAAGCGGCCGCCAGGTTCTCCGCCTGTCTTCAAGGCGCGTTACGTGGCTCGTGGCTTCAGTCAGCGGCAGGGAGTTGACTACTTTCAGACCTTCTCCCCCACCCCGAAGATGACCACTCTTCGGGTACTACTGCACGTTGCTGCTCACCGTGACTACGAGCTGCACTCTCTCGACTTCAGCACTGCTTTCTTGAAGGGCAACCTGCACGAGGAGATCTGGCTGCGCCGCCCACCTGGCTTCACTGGGTCTTTCCCTCCTGGTACCCAGTGGAGTCTCCGGCGTCTAGTCTACGGTCTCCGCCAGGCGCCACGTGAGTGGCACGACACACTGAGGACTACGCTTGCGGCTCTTGGGTTTGCTCCTTCTTCTGCCGACCCGTCGCTGTTTCTGCGCACCGACACCTCTTTGCCGCTGTTCTACATCCTCGTGTACGTCGACGACTTGGTCTTTGCCACAGCTGACACTGCTGGACTCGCCTACGTGAAGTCCGAGCTGTAGAAGAGACACACGTGCACAGACCTGGGTGAACTGCGCAGCTACCTTGGCTTGCAGATCACCCGGGACAGAGCACGCCGCACCATTACCCTGACTCAATCACATATGGTGCAGCAGGTCCTTCAGCGCTTCGGCTTCACGTACTCCTCGCCTCAGGCCACTCCTCTGCCTACTCGCCACTCGCTCTCAGCTCTGCCTTCGGATGAGTCCGTAGAGTCGAGTGGCCCGTATCCAGAGCTTGTTGGCTGCCTCATGTACCTGATGACCTGCACACGGCCTGACCTTGCATACCCTCTTAGCATTCTTGCACGCTATGTTGCTCCTGGGAGACACCGACCAGAGCACACGGCTGCAGCGAAGAGGGTGTTGCGCTACTTGTGTAGTACGTCGGGCATGGGGCTAGTGCTTGGAGGGCGGAGTCCAGTGGTCCTCACTGGGCACGCGGACGCCTCTTGGGCTGACGGCCAGGCTAAGCAGCGGTCGTCACAGGGTTACACCTTCAGCCTTGGTTCCGGCTCTGTTTCGTGGCGGGCTACCCGCTCGTCTTCTGTTCTCGGCTCCAGTTGTGAGGCTGAGATCTACACCGGGGCTATGGCTGCCCAGGAGCTTCGCTGGCTCACCTACCTGCTGACCGACCTTTGAGAGCCGCCTCGTTCTCCTCCAGTCCTGTACGTAGACAACAAGGCCATGCTGGCCTTGTGTCGAGAGCAGCGACTAGAGCACAGGATAAAGCACATTGCTCTCCGCTACTTTCTTGCCCGTGAGCTACAGCAGCGTGGACAGTTGCGGCTTGCGTACGTGGCCTCTGAGGCCAACACTGCTGATGTCTTCACCAAGGCACTTGCGCCTTGTGATCATCAGCGCTTCTGCACTCAGCTTGGTCTTGTGCCTGTCTTGCCTCACTTGCTCACTTCTAGACCTTGCTTGTACTGTCACATATATATACCCCTGCTCTTGCTTGCTTAGCCTCTTACATATATATATGTGATCTTGCATGAGAACTGGCCTTTTGGCCTTTGAACTTGTGCTCGGAATGTGTGGTGACTTTGTGATCCACCCTGAGCTTTGCTTTGCTTTGCTTGACTGGTCTTGTGACCCCTTGTTCTCCCCCACTTTGCCTATGGGGGTGTGTCCGAACATTATAGCTTATGCTGTTGTGTAGGCTATAGTGGGGTATCCCATAGGGGGTACAACCAATTAGGGTTTCATATTTGTACTCACTTCATTCATAGTTCACACATTCTCGTTTCAGTTTTCTCATAACCCACTGTGTGCCGTTCCCTGCTCCTCCTCCTCCTCCTCCTGCGTCTCCCTGTGCTGCAGCTGCCGCTGAGGGGGGGTGGACTTGTTGGAGCTGGTGGAGTGGTACTAAGGGGGAGTGAAGGGGGAGTGGAGCTAGGGGTGTAGCAGCGGGTGTGTGAGAGCCGCGTTGGGCAGCTGGGGGAGGTTGAGTGGACGCAGCAGTGTTGTCGTTAGCAGCAACAGCAGTCCGGAGGCTACAATCTCCGGTAGTCGTTAGTCGCCCGTGGGTCCGTTGCTCGTCTGCCGCTACTTTTAGCCGCTGGGCCAGTTACTCCAGTAGTCCGGAGCGCTGTTCCGGTAGCTACTGAGCCAGCAGCTCGTCTGTGTGTCTGCAGCGTCAGCAGTCGCCTCCCATCTTCTCTCCCCCATAGTCACTCCTCCTCCACACATGACCTCTGCGATAGCCTCTAGCTTTGCTCATAATTGTGAACTTTAAACTATTGCTTCTTGAACTTGTGCTCAGAATGTGTGGTGACACTGTGATCCACCCTGCGCTTGTACTGCTTTGCTTGCTCTGCTGATTACACCCCACTTTGGCTATGGGGGTGTGTCAGAATGTTATCTTTGTTCTCTAGCCTGCAGTGGGGTACTCTATAGCGAGTACAACCCCTTAGGGTTTCCTATATGTATCTTGCTGCTTGCTAGTGCAAACCCCTCTTCTTTCTTCTAGATTCTCACACAGAGCGCGACGCGCGAGGCAGGAGCGCGCGACTCCTGGGCTGCCTTAGGGCACGACGCGTGGGCTGCAGCAGAGCGCGACGCGCGGGGCAGCAGCGTGCGACGCGCAGGCTGCCGTAGGGTGCGACGCGCAGGGCCGCAGCACGGGCGTAGGGCAGGGCGCAGGCGCAGGGCAGGGCGCTGGCGCAGGGCAAGGCGCTGGCGCAGGGTAGGGCTCTGGCGCAGGGCAGGGCGCTGGCGCAGGGCAAGGCGTTGGCACAGGGCAGGGCGCCGGCGCAGGGCAGGGCGCTGGCACAGGGCAGGGCGCCGGCGCAGGGCAGGGCGCTGACGAAGGGTGACGCCAGGCAGGGCAAGGCAGGGCGTGCACAGGGCAGCGCGACGCAGGGTAGTGGGGTAACATAGTAACCGCAGTCGGAAGCTAAGTATGGTGGGCCCGAAAAAAAAAAAACGGTCCTACGGACCTACTGCTCTGAAACCATGTCAAGATAGCAAGCAGGAATGGTTGCATTGAATGAAATGTGGGTACAAGTACTAACCCTAACTTCGGGTTGTACCCCATATGGGCTACCCCACTATAGCCTACACAGAATCAACACATATATAGTTTGACAGATGCAATGGGAAAGAAGACATGGAAGAACTTCTCCGATAGAAATGGGCCAACAAGAGTAGATGCGGTGTGGTATGAGCGGACTGAGAGTGGAAATTCCCTCTGCAACCAGTTTTGGAAGAGGTGGAGGAGGGAGGTGCTAGGAAGTGAGGAATGTGTCCTTGAGATGCTCAATCAACCAACACGACGGGCCAGCAGCGATACCCCGTGGGTTGATCGAAGAGCCAAGTGGAGGAGCTAGGCTGACAGCTGTGGATGAGAGTCTGGGGTGAAAGAGGCTATAATTGAGCAATAGGCTGCGGGGCAAGCGGGTGCTAGGAGGAGAGGGATGAAATAGTATCAGGGAAAGGAGGTGCAAGCTCGCCGCACTTGGCAAAGCGCGATGATTGATGGATGTGTGCCTGGTATCTGTAGATCATGCTGAAGCAAGGTTGAGAGGGCGAACAACAGGGGTGGCAGCGGCAAAGGCTTCAAGGGAAAGCGCATGCAAGTCCTCGCTGATAAAGCGTTGAGCGAGGAGGGCCCATGCTGCAGTAAGCGTTTGCGAAGGGGTAGCATCATTCAAGTAGAGGACAAGGAGCATGAAAGTTAGTAAGATAAGATGTGCAGCAATATCAGAAGGATGTTGTTCAAGCACGAAAAGGCGAATGCGAGGAGGAACGCGGCGGATGATGGGTCCATGAGAAAGTGTCGGGCTGAAAAAAACATACCAATCCCACTCGAGGACAGCATAGGTGGCAAAAGGGATTGCTGGCGGGGACTGTGCAATTGCATATTGAGCACCAGGAGGGGCGGGACGAGGAGGAGGACACACAGTTTGTTGTCTTGCAGCAGAGTTTTGCTCGTAGGAGGCGGTATGGCGAATCAAGGCACTAGCATTAGCGCAAGGACGGTGCCATGTAGGGCAGGAAAAAGAACGGCCGACAGGAGGAGGGTTGTTGAGCGAAGGCGCGGTAGGGGATCTAAAGGGGGATGTGGAAGGGGGACGGGGAGGGGTAGAAGAGCGATGAGGGGGTTGCGGGGAAGGAGCAGTTTCGTAGTGTGAGCGGGTGCGAGTCGTCTGCAGGGGCCATGGAATCGGGTGAGTTTGCTATGGTAGTTGGATGGGCTGAGGTAGGTGAGGGATGGTCACGTGAAGGCGAGGGCCTCGGCCCCTCTAACTAGTTTTCCCTTTCATAGGTGCCATGCAAAAGCATGAAAGCGCAGACAGGGGTGTTCCGAGAATTGAACTCGGGACCTCTCGCACCCTAAGCGAGAATCATGCCACTAGACCAAACACCCGCGTACAAAGTTATGTGTAGTTTTTTCTTATTTTCGTTAATGGGTCTTCTCGTGAATATCGACTTCAAGCGCCTGAATCACCTTTCACTAGGCTTCTCCGTTTGTCGATCCTGTGCTTGCCTCCCATTCATCCATCGTCCCCTGCTTCGGCCTCAATCCAATGGCGTCGTCTAGTGAAAACGAGGCACTTCCAGTCTGGAACGCGGAGTTCTTTTTCATTGAATGCTCAGAATCGCATGCATCGGCTCGAATCCCTCGCCTCCACCCAATTGCCTCGAAACCGTCCGTCGTCGAGGCCGACACTCAAATCTCCGCCGTGCCTATATATTATCGTCAGCTTCACCGTCAGCTTCACCGTCATCTTAACCGTCAGATTGTTTTCCCGTCAGTCGTTGAGGCCGACGCTCGGATCTCCACCGTGCCTTATAACTCGTCCTCCCTCCTCGCCGTTTGCTATTAGCTTCGGCGTCAGCTTGCGCTCACGTCCGCCAATCCACAAGGAACGACCGTCACAAGCGCGCGGCAGAGCGAGCCGTCATCGTCACGCAGCGCCACCACCATCGCCTCTCGCCGCGCGGCGCCTTCGCCGTCTTCGATCTCACTCCCCTTGCCGCGCTGCACTCCCTCCTCCCCCCCACCCCCCCCCTCCCCCCCCCCCCCTGCGCTGCTTCGAGTCGACTCAAACCGCCACCACCATGGCCTCTCGCCGCTCCCCGCCCTCAGCATTGTCGCTTTCCCTTTCCCCCGCTGCGCTGCTCGTTCTAGGCCTGGCTCTTCTCGGCCTATCCTGGCCGTCCATCGCCGCGTCGTCCCGGCGCGTGCTGCTGCAGGCCGGCGGCGCGGCATCGGACCGCGCGGCGGCGTTCGGGAGCCGCGTGATCTTTAACTCGATGCAGAACGTGGGCGTGCAGGACGGCGGCGCCATCTCGCTCACGCTCGACCGCACGGGAGGTGCGAATAGAGGGCAGTGCTCTTGTTTCTCTTGAGGGCAGTGCTCTTGTTTCTCTTGAGAGCAGTGCTCTTGTTTCTCTTGAGGGCAGTGCTCTTGCTTCTCTTGAGGGCAGGGCGTGTGGACAGACACACAGTGGCGGGTTGTCGCTCTTGTTTCTCTTGAGGGCAGGGCGTATGGACAGACACACAGTGGCGGGTTGTCGTTTGAGACACACAGTGGCGGGTTGTCGTTTGAGCTCTTGTTTCTCTTGAGGGCAGGGCGTATGGACAGACACACAGTGGCGGGTTGTCGTTTGAGACACACAGTGGCGGGTTGTCGTTTGAGCTCTTGTTTCTCTTGAGGGCAGGGCGTATGGACAGACACACAGTGGCGGGTTGTCGTTTGAGACACACAGTGGCGGGTTGTCGTTTGAGCTCTTGTTTCTCTCAGAGGATTAAGCAGCTGTCCTCTGCGCCACCAGTCGTCTGACCTGGGAGTCCAACGCTGCACAGCTATAGTGGCGTGTGGCTGTCACCAGCGTGACTAAATCTACATGCAGCCCTCATGTCACATCTTTCTGCTTCACCCCTCCTGCGTTTGCTGTGCTGGCCTGGCCTGTTCTGTGCTGTGCTGTGCTGTGTGTGTGTGCGCATGAGTGGCAGGAGCGGGGTTTGAGTGCAGCGACGCGTACAGCTTTGGCATGTTCAGTGTGGAGGCCAAGATGCCTGCCGGCTACTCTGCTGGCGTCTGCGCCACCTACTTTGTACGTCCCTCCCAACCCAACCTGCTGCTTCCTCCGTCCCAATCTCTCGCATTGCTTCTTTCTTGCATTGCTGGTTTGTGTCAGAATGGGGAATCGCTGGGTCAATCCTCTTGCTGTGCTGCTCGCCTGCACGTTTGCACGTCTTTACGCTTGCATGCTCACATCACACATGAGCCACCCACCCCTTTCCCCCACCCCACCAACAGCTGCAGTCAGGGTCATACGAGCAGCGCAACGAGTGGGACTTTGAGTTCCTGGGCTCGCCCAACACGTCCGTGGGCATGACGCTGCAGACCAACGCCTTCATGGGCGGCACGGGCGGCCAGGAGGAGCTCTCTGCGTTTGGCTTCGACCCCGCTGCTGACTTCCACACCTACTCCATCCAGTGGGGCCCCGACCAGACCGTGTAAGGGCTCAAGAGTCAACACACGCTCCCTTGCTCGCTGTCGTCTGCATGGTTCTTCTTACATGCGCAAGAGCCAGTGGGATGGATGCTTTCATGCATGCGCCGTGCATGTTCTGGTTACTGGTCTGGGCTGTGCTCACATACGCACGCTCACACATGCACACATACGCTCACACATGCACACATACGCTCACACATGCACACATACGCTCACACATGCACACATACGCTCACACATGCACACATACGCTCACACATGCACACATACGCTCACACATACGCTCACACATGCACACATACGCTCACACATACGCTCACCTGCCTTCTTTTTTATGCCTTTTGTCATTGGCTCCACGCCCAGGTGGCTGGTGGACGGGGAGGTGCGGCGAGTGATGGGCAGCAGCAACCCTGCGTACCCGCGGGACCCCATGCGAGTCTACTTCAGCATCTGGGACGCCTCCACCTGGGCCACTGGGCCCAGGACTGCGCGCATCCCAGTCGACTACAGCTATGCTGTGAGCCTCCTTCTATGCGCCCTTGCATGTGCCCTTCTGTGTGCTCTTCTCCCTTGTCTGCACTCGTTCTTGCACCTCCACCTGGGCCACTGGTCCCAGGATGGCACTCATCCTTGTCGACTAAAGCTATGCTGTGAGTGCCCTTCCATGCGCCCTTCCATGCGCCCTGCCATGTGCCCTTCTCCCATGTCTGCGTGCATACTTGCACCTCCTTCTGGCCCACCAGGCCCAGGCCTACTCGCATGCCGATGTACATAGTGCTGTGCTGTGCTACGCTCTTCTCCCGCCTCTGGGCTGGATGTGTAGTGGGCAGTTGGTTGCGCGGCATGTACCATGAGGTGGGTACTGATCGGTCCCTCTGTGTGTGCGCTGTGCTGCATGCAGCCGTTTGTGGTGACGTTCAGGAACTTCAAGTACACCGCAGCTTGACTCGTGCGCGGTGCACTGCGGTGTAGTGCAGAGATTGTGATCTGATACTGGCAGTGTGCTAGGTGCGTTCGTATGTTGATGTACAGTTCAATGTATGTACAGTTTTGTGCCATACAACCTTGGGCAGCTTTCTACCATCTGGGTCAAGCCCACCTGGGGATAAGACTGTTTCCAAACCCAGCCCAACATGCAGATGAACCTTAGCATTTGAACAGAACTACAGTGTCTAACTGAGGAGAAAGGTGGCAGGCTTTGAGTGCCTGTAAGCCACGGCTTACAGCACTGGCCCTTTTGAGACGTCTCAAAACACTCCTTCTTTCACGTGGCTTCATTCTTTCTGGTTCCTGTAGATTTCTGCTAGCGTGGAAGCTGCCTTCCCGTTTAAAACGAAGACTGATTCAATCGAGGCTCCAACCTGTCGCAGCAGCTTGAACTTTTCCGAGCGACAAAGGTGGTGTTACCACCTTCTCGACTTCTCGGCCCTGGTTACCAACTTTCGCGAACATTCCAACAGAGTTCCGAAGATTTGGGTCAGAGTCCTGGACTCACCTCGAGATCTCACTCCATTTCCGCCTCGACATCTTCATCCATCCGCCTGGTTAGCTCAGCCTGATCGTAGAGTATTTCAGCTAGTTTGTTCATTACCGTCTCTTATTCTCAGGCTTGTTTGTACTGATGAAGGCTCGCAAGAGCCGAAACTAGTTTACTCAAGTTCGTATTTTAAGATTCCGTTTTCGTTCAAACTGGCTTACTAAAATACGATCTAGCATACAAGCTTAAACCAGGCTTCCCACTTTCATCTCATGGAGTTTGTTTCGCCGTCTTAATAACATCCAAGTTGATGGACGTCAGACCTCCGCAGCCCACCTGTTTACTAATAACAGCACCTGCATCGAGTGATACGGTTGTGGCCAGAGGCTCTCCTTCTTCTGACGACGATTCATCCGACTCAGAGGCCTTTCAGGAGGCCTCCCGCTTTTTCGTCTTTCGCGCTACCAAGCGTCGGCGTGAGGAATCTGACAATTCCCTTCAGCTGGAAAACGGAAAGCTTTAGTTTACTCCAACTCCATATCGAACCGCTCATCCCAAGACATTACGCCGACAAGCATTTAAAACACCAAGAATAATAGCTTCCGCGTCACCGGCAATGGCTACTAACGCAGACGATGCAGGTGTCAATGTGATCGAGGGAGTTAACATCTCCCAACATACCGTACACTTGAAGCGGCTTTTTCGCCAGAAGGAAATAGATAAGATACAGGTCCTATGCTTCAAGATCAAGGGCTCTGTTTTGGAAATGATCTATGTCCAACTCGTTTTAAAAAAAGGCAACAAGAAGCTATTTCGAAAGCTATCAAGTCCTATGCTACATATCTCAGCCTCAAGCAACAGGTCGCTAAAATGAAGTTAATTGACGGCAGAAAGGAGTTGCTGCACAGCATCAGAACCAAAGCCGTTCAGTTTCAGACCACCAATGAGGCTATTAAGAAGGCCGCTGATGATAAGATCTCCTCTCTGCACAATGATGCTCTTCTAGAGCAACAGAAAGTCTTCATTGAAGCCAAGGAGGAGTTAATGACTACCGCTTTTAATGAGGCCAATGGTGCTGTTTCTCTTCTGGATGGATTAATTTCCAGTTATATTAACGGCATTAAAGCTATGGAAGAAGATTCCAGACGAAATAAAGCTATCGAAGTCATGGAATTCTTCAGAGGGAAGCTCATCCAAGAAGCTATTGCCGCTGTCGAGATTCAGCAGACCAAGGCATTCATGGAATTTCATGAGAATCAGCGACTCAAGAATGAAGCAGAGATGGTTAAGAAGGCAGCTCAAGAACAACTTCAGAATATGGAGACAGAGCCTAGCATGAGGGAAGTTGCTAAGGATGTTGTTGACTCCAAACTTTCCGCAGTGCTTAAACGGCTTGAAAAACTTGAGTTGCAGAATCAGTCATCAGCTAAAGGGAAGCAGCCACAGCAGCAGCTACAGCAGCAGCATCAACAGCCGCAGGGACAGCAGCAGAAGAAGCAGCAGACCCAGCAGCAGCAGCAGCAGCAGCAGCAGCAGCAGCAGCAGCAGCAACAGCAGCCGCAGCAGCAACCCCAAGCACCTGCTACAGCAGAGGACAAAGGGGAAAAGAAGAAGAAGAAAAGGTGGTACAAACCAAAAAACGGAGGAGGCCCCGCAAGGGGCCAGCGCAGCTAACAAGCAAGGAGTTAGCACTCCGCTGGTTCGGGCGATTAACCGAGTCTCAGGCTAAGATCCGGATCATCAACCACGGAGTGTTTAATTTGAGCTCCCACAGCCTGACACCTGCTGAACGAAGTGTTCTAGGGCTGGGACTCAAGTTTGTCTTACCTCATGCGCAGCCGTTTTCTCCTTCTGAAATCTTTAACGATTTTTCCAATCTGTTCAGGTCTATAAAGCTACAGGAATTCTTTAAAGGAACAGGACGTACTGACAGTCGTTTTTGAGTTAGTAATCCCGGTTGGATGCCTGAAGAGGATGAGAAGCTGGAAGCAGTTTTCGAAGAAACCAGAAAGGATTTATCCTGCCTGCTATCTCAGACACCTATCCGTAAAGGGCCTTACCTTCCTAAGGGGTATTATAAAGCCATCCGCGGACTCGCCTCCAATTCAAACATCATCATCAAACAAGCCGACAAGAACATGGGGATTACCTTGATGGACCGTACGGCCTACATTCAAGAGTGCCTAAATCATCTCCTGGACAGAAGCACTTACATTGAAATTGACACAGCTGCAGCAGATTTTGAAGATCCACGGTCTTCGGTTTTTGCTAAGTTGGTTGATATCCGTGCTAACCTTGGACCTTTACTCCCTAGATATTTGTGGACTTATTTTGCTCACCTTCCGACAAACGGCTGGAAGTCGGCCATCTTCTATGTCATCATGAAAGTACACAAGAAGATCCCTGTCGGACGACCGATAGCAGCTTCCCATTCCTGGGTTACCGCGAACGTCAGTCGCTGGCTAGACTCTGCACTCCGCCCGTTAGTTCTCCAACAACCGACATACCTGAGAGACTCACTCTCTTTGCTTCTTCACCTGGAAAAAACGCCTATGCCGAGGAAGTTACTACTCGCCACGTACGATGTCCAAGCACTCTATCCTTCTATTCCGCTACGAGAAGGAGTCGACGTAGTCCGTTCCTTTCTGGAGCGAGATCCACTTCGTTTCCCTAATGCACCAGTCATCGTGGCTTTGTTGGAATGGGTGATGTTTAACTCTTACGTGGATTTCGATGGTAGGATTTTTCGGCAGATCCAGGGGACCGCGATGGGAACCTCAGTCGCAGTTTGCTTCGCCATCCTCTACATGAGTCGGTTGGACGAAACACTCCGCGCTCGCATGGGTCCAAACGTCCCTCTTCTCCATCTCCGCTACATTGATGATGGTTTCATCTGCTGGGGAGGGAGTCAAGAAGGATTAGAGGATTTCTTAGCAGCCTTCAATTCGCTCCGACCTACAATCAAGCTTACATGGACGATTTCCGAGACTTCAGTTGATTTCCTGGATTTAGTCATCCATAGAGGACAGCGTTTCAACTGCTCAGGCCTACTGGACATCTCTACATTCCAGAAACCCAACAACACGTACCTCTACCTTCCATTCTCATCATTCCATCCACGGCACTGTAAGGAAGGTTTTATCCGCTCCGAGCTAAAACGCTACCTGCTCAGAAGCTCCAGTTTCGACGATTTCTGCAGCATGAAGCGGGCTTTTTTCAAAAGGCTACGCTCCAGGGGATACCCGCATCATTTCCTGCTACCTCTCTTTACGGCCATCACTTTCAGTCAATGCGATGAACTCTTACTACAAGCTCTACGACGACAGCAGCTTCGATCTACTACGGGACCAGAATTGAGACCTCACGGACCCTTGGTGCTTAAGACTAATTATACTCCTTACAGTAAAAGTCTACCCCTTGGGTTCGTTTTGAGACGTCTCAAAACACTCCTTCTTTCACGTGGCTTCATTCTTTCTGGTTCCTGTAGATTTCTGCTAGCGTGGAAGCTGCCTTCCCGTTTAAAACGAAGACTGATTCAATCGAGGCTCCAACCTGTCGCAGCAGCTTGAACTTTTCCGAGCGACAAAGGTGGTGTTACCACCTTCTCGACTTCTCGGCCCTGATTACCAACTTTCGCGAACATTCCAACAGAGTTCCGAAGATTTGGGTCAGAGTCCTGGACTCACCTCGAGATCTCACTCCATTTCCGCCTCGACATCTTCATCCATCCGCCTGGTTAGCTCAGCCTGATCGTAGAGTATTTCAGCTAGTTTGTTCATTACCGTCTCTTATTCTCAGGCTTGTTTGTACTGATGAAGGCTCGCAAGAGCCGAAACTAGTTTACTCAAGTTCTGATTTTAAGATTCCATTTTCGTTCAAACTGGCTTACTAAAATACGATCTAGCATACAAGCTTAAACCAGGCTTCCCACTTTCATCTCATGGAGTTTGTTTCGCCGTCTTAATAACATCCAAGTTGATGGACGTCAGACCTCCGCAGCCCACCTGTTTACTAATAACAGCACTTACAGCACTGGCCCTTCCATTCCTTCCTCTGCATTCACTCTGAATCCCTCCCACCTAGCTTTCACACTCTGGTCCTCTCAGCCTGCCTCGCCCTCACCCATTTGCACCACCAGCCACGCCTATCATGTGTTGCAGCAGGTACAGCGATCCCATGTCATGCCTCTCCTCCACCTCACCATTCATGCCTCTTCTTCCCCACCCTCATCACCCTCCTCCCCACGTGCCGCTGCAGTCGCTGCCACCGCTCCTGCCTGTCCCTCCTTCCCTGCAGCGTACCCAACCACGCACCGCACCATGCGCTGCTGCCAGCACACCCGCCTCATATCCCCATTATGCCTCTTCCACACCCCCATCCCCGCCATCATCCTCCTCATGTGCCGGCTGCAGTCGCTGCCACCGCTCCTGCCCGTCCCACCTCCCCTGTAAAGCAGCCAGCCACGCCCCGTGCCGCTCCCCCACCGTTTTCACTGCTGCATCCTCGTGCTGACAGCAAACACACAAAGAGAAGGTGGGCGGGAGAAGGTGAGGAGGGGGAGGGGGGGAAGGAGAAGGAGGGGAAGGGGGTAGGGTGTGGGCAGTGCAAGGCACGGAAGACAGAGTGCAGGGAAGGGAGTGGTTCATCTGGCATGCGTGCATCTGCCTTGTGGTGTCACCATCCAGGAACCATACTGCCTTGTGGTGTCACCATCCAGGAACCATACTACAACAACAGCCATGCATGTGTAGTGCTGAGAGTCTGTATGTGCAAGCAGACATGCATAGCATGTGCACATGCACTCACCAGCAGCGCAGGCGCTCACCTGGTGAGGCGAGGGGTGGGGGCAGATGGCAGCGTGCAGGGCACTGGCGAACTGACTGCGGCAAGGGAGAAGAGAGTGGGGAGAGGGAGGACGGCGGAGTGACGCATGGTGATGGCTTGAGTGGTGGGAGGCGGAAGCACGCACACCAGACGGCCACACGCATGAGCATGCGCGCACATGTACCTCACCACACCGGCAGCACAAGCTCACACCACACCGGCAGCACAAGTAGCCCCACATACAGCACAGCACAGCACAGCACAGCGCAGCACAGCACAGCAGAGCACAGCACAGCACAGCACAGCACAGCACAGCACAGCACAGCACAGCACAGCACAGCACAGCGCAGCACAGCACAGCACAGCACAGCACAGCACAGCGCAGCGCAGCGCAGCACAGCACAGCACAGCACAGCACAGCACAGCACAGCACAGCACAGCACAGCACAGCGCAGCACAGCACAGCACAGCGCAGCGCAGCACAGCACAGCACAGCGCAGCACAGCGCAGCACAGCACAGCACAGCACAGCGCAGCACAGCACCGCACGGCACGGCACAGCACAGCACAGCACAGCACAGCACAGCAAAGCACACAGCACGGCACAGCACACAGCACAGCACAGCACTGGCACCAGCCAGTCAAGCAGAAACAATAGAAGATCCTGTGACATTAGTTACTGGTATGAGCGAAAATGCATGGCCTGTGACATGTAAAGTTAGCGCTGAGAACCCTCAAAAGTCAAATGGATGGCCTGTGACATGTAAAGATATGCTTGGCCTGTGACATGTAAAGATATGCATGGCCTGTGACATGTAAAAATAGCGCTGAAGGGCTAGGGTGTCAGCAGCAGATGCACCCACTGCATACGATGGCATCAGCACCTGATGAGGATCACGTCATCATCGCTGACATGGGTTACGGGCATGGTGGCAGCGAAGTCTATGAGTGAATCTGAGGGGGGGATGCAGGGGGGCATAGGGGGCAAGCATGGATGGATGGAGGCATGGACAGGGGCAGGGAGGGGTTGTGGCCGGAAAGAGTGGGCGGGGGATGGGATAGAGGACGTAAAAGAAGGGATTGTGAGAAGAGTAAGAGTGGATGCGGAGGAAGGGGCGGAAGGATGGGGGTTTTGGACCGCAGGGAGAGGCGAGACAAAGGCTTGCAGGACATGGGAACGATGTGCAAGAGAGATGGTCGAAAGAAAGCACTGCTCCTCACACACCTCATCTGATCCTCATGCTGCACACCCATGTTTCAACTCTCCAGGTGCCGTCTCTCCTCCCTCCATCCCCTCCCTTACCTCATGCTAACTTCCCCCTCAAACCAAAAACACCACTCCGCACCGCATTCCCCTCGTGGGTGTTAGAAGTAGCTGCCACGCATTCGCACATACATTTGACACCTGCACCTGACTCAACCCAACCCCAACTAACCCCATGAACCACAGGTATGACCCCCAACCGCATGACATGAGTCAAGCACGACCCTTCCACACCCATGGACCATGACATGTTTCCTCCCACACCCATGGACCATGACATGTTTCCTCCCACACCCATGGACCATGACATGTTTCCTCCCAAACCCCTTTGTTACCACCGCACCAGCAGCACCATGCCATGCCATGCCATGCCGTGACTCACACAAGTTCTCGCACAAGCCCACTGCCGCCTCTGCCTCTGCTCGCCCCCTCTGCCCCTCCCTTTCCGCCACCACGTCGCTGCCGCCCCCATGCGGTGCACCCTCCCCAGCTGCGCCCTCCCCAGCTGCGCCCTCCCCAGCTGCGCCCTCCCCAGCTGCGCCCTCCCCAGCTGCGCCCTCTCCAGCTGCGCCCTCCCCAGGTGCGGGCGAGAAAGGTTCCTGGTGGCGGATGGCAGAGACAACGAGGTTGAGGAACTGGTGGCGCTGCTCGCCTGGTGGGGTGGGGGGGACGTCGAGGGGTGGGGGGAGGTACGTATGGAATAGCATGCACTCTTTCGCGTATATATGCTTCCACACATGAGCAACACAGTAGAGAGGAGAGAGTTGTGGATGCACATGTTGCGGTGAGGCCAGGCGGAAATGGACATTTGTGTTGAGGGGAAGGCGGGGTGCAAAGCAGCAGGAACCAGCATCCTGATTCTACAGACAGGCGAAATTAGCAAGCAAGGACAGCAGGGCCGAGGGGGCAGCAGAGCAGCGCACCAGGGCAGAGGTTGGGGTCAAAGCAGTGCAGATTGGCGAACAGCTTCACCAGCAGCACCACACTCTGCCACCCACTCCCCACCCCGCCCTCGCCCCCGGCACCTCCAACCGCACCTCCACCCTCTTCCCCCCCTCCCCTTCCCACCCCACTCCTCCCTCCTCCCTGCGCCTTCGCTGCTCTCCCATTCCACGCCCACCCACCCACCCCGTCTGCCTCTGCTGCTACCCCACCCTCCCCTCCCTCCAACCATATCACCCCCTCCGCCCAGTCACTCTCTTCCTTGCCTTCATCACTCCCTCGCTTCCTTTTCTCACTCTCCTTCTTTCTCTTCCTTCCCACCATCTGTTCATCAACTCGGCAAAACTGAAAGTTTCCTCGAAGCTTCCCAACACTTCTGCCATCTCGTGGACCAACCCCCCTTTCTCTACTGCCCCTGCTGCCACTGCGGCTTTTCGACCCAGCTGCCTCCTTATAAGCAGCCCTCGTTACAGCCACAAGCCCTCCCTCAGAAAACGAGAATGGGCCAGAAGAAAGCGTCTCTGTCGAATCCTCCACACCGCTCAACCCACATTTGCCACTCCCCGCCCCTTCACCCCCCTTCCTATTCTCCTCCCCATGGCCGGGCACAGCAGGAGCGACAGCACAGGTGCGGTGCAAGGGTGAGGAGCAGCAGTTGAGGGAGTGTGAGCGTGAGTGGGTGAGATGGAGGGCGAGGCCGAGCGAAGGGAAGGGGCGGAAGAGGACGAAGGCGTCGGCCTCTCGGGCCACAAGGGCCCGCGTGAGCGGGCCGTATAGCCAGCGTGAGGCAAAGGCAGGCGACGGGAGGGCGAGCAGATGCACAAGAAGAGGCGCCTGGAGGGGAGATGTGGTTCAAGAGGAGCAGAGAGAGAAATGCAGAGAGGGAGAGAAGCGGTGTGCATAGGGCATGAGAGCAGGCCGTGCAGCCAGCGCTGAGATATGGGCGACTAGAAAGGTGAGAGAGGCGGAGGAAAGGAGAGGCAAGTGGTGGAGGGAGGTGCAAGAGAAAGAGACATGCACAGCAATGAGACTGAATAAAGCGTGTGCTGCCAGTGCTAGGATGGCAGTGAGAAGTGATGGGGTGAAAAGCAGAACTCACAGAGGAGTTTGCTTAGTGTTGCAGCTGCTGAGCCACTCACAGCACATTTGCTAGGGTGTGCACGCACATGCACGCATGTGAGCATGGGAACGTGTGAAGTGGAGCACAGGCAGAGTCTGGGAGTGGAGCACAGGCAGAGTCTGGGAGTGGAGCACAGGCAGAGTCTGGGAGTGGAGCACAGGCAGAGTCTGGGAGTGGAGCACAGGCAGAGTCTGGGAGTGGAGCACAGGCAGAGTCTGGGAGTGGAGCACAGGCAGAGTCTGGGAGTGGAGCACAGGCAGAGTCTGGGAGTGGAGCACAGGCAGAGTCTGGGAGTGGAGCACAGGCAGAGTCTGGGAGTGGAGCACAGGCAGAGTCTGGGAGTGGAGCACAGGCAGAGTCTGGGAGTGGAGCACAGGCAGAGTCTGGGAGTGGAGCACAGGCAGAGTCTGGGAGTGGAGCACAGGCAGAGTCTGGGAGTGGAGCACAGGCAGAGTCTGGGAGTGGAGCACAGGCAGAGTCTGGGAGTGGAGCACAGGCAGAGTCTGGGAGTGGAGCACAGGCAGAGTCTGGGAGTGGAGCACAGGCAGAGTCTGGGAGTGGAGCACAGGCAGAGTCTGGGAGTGGAGCACAGGCAGAGTCTGGGAGTGGAGCACAGGCAGAGTCTGGGAGTGGAGCACAGGCAGAGTCTGGGAGTGGAGCACAGGCAGAGTCTGGGAGTGGAGCACAGGCAGAGTCTGGGAGTGGAGCACAGGCAGAGTCTGGGAGTGGAGCACAGGCAGAGTCTGGGAGTGGAGCACAGGCAGAGTCTGGGAGTGGAGCACAGGCAGAGTCTGGGAGTGGAGCACAGGCAGAGTCTGGGAGTGGAGCACAGGCAGAGTCTGGGAGTGGAGCACAGGCAGAGTCTGGGAGTGGAGCACAGGCAGAGTCTGGGAGTGGAGCACAGGCAGAGTCTGGGAGTGGAGCACAGGCAGAGTCTGGGAGTGGAGCACAGGCAGAGTCTGGGAGTGGAGCACAGGCAGAGTCTGGGAGTGGAGCACAGGCAGAGTCTGGGAGTGGAGCACAGGCAGAGTCTGGGAGTGGAGCACAGGCAGAGTCTGGGAGTGGAGCACAGGCAGAGTCTGGGAGTGGAGCACAGGCAGAGTCTGGGAGTGGAGCACAGGCAGAGTCTGGGAGTGGAGCACAGGCAGAGTCTGGGAGTGGAGCACAGGCAGAGTCTGGGAGTGGAGCACAGGCAGAGTCTGGGAGTGGAGCACAGGCAGAGTCTGGGAGTGGAGCACAGGCAGAGTCTGGGAGTGGAGCACAGGCAGAGTCTGGGAGTGGAGCACAGGCAGAGTCTGGGAGTGGAGCACAGGCAGAGTCTGGGAGTGGAGCACAGGCAGAGTCTGGGAGTGGAGCACAGGCAGAGTCTGGGAGTGGAGCACAGGCAGAGTCTGGGAGTGGAGCACAGGCAGAGTCTGGGAGTGGAGCACAGGCAGAGTCTGGGAGTGGAACTGCTTGCATTAGAATTCCTCAAGAGTGAAAGCATGGCGTGAAGCATGGCGTGAAGCATGGCGTGAAGCATGGCGTGAAGCATGGCGTGAAGCATGGCGTGAAGCATGGCGTGAAGCATGGCGTGAAGCATGGCGTGAAGCATGGCGTGAAGCATGGCGTGAAGCATGGCGTGAAGCATGGCGTGAAGCATGGCGTGAAGCATGGCGTGAAGCATGGCGTGAAGCAAAGACACACACAGGGCTACAGGTGAAAGGCTTAGGTGTCCAGTGCAGTGCAGTGCACAAGGCATGGGAATGTGAGTGAGGAAGCTGCCTTCCCGTTTAAAACGAAGACTGATTCAATCGAGGCTCCAACCTGTCGCAGCAGCTTGAACTTTTCCGAGCGACAAAGGTGGTGTTACCACCTTCTCGACTTCTCGGCCCTGATTACCAACTTTCGCGAACATTCCAACAGAGTTCCGAAGATTTGGGTCAGAGTCCTGGACTCACCTCGAGATCTCACTCCATTTCCGCCTCGACATCTTCATCCATCCGCCTGGTTAGCTCAGCCTGATCGTAGAGTATTTCAGCTAGTTTGTTCATTACCGTCTCTTATTCTCAGGCTTGTTTGTACTGATGAAGGCTCGCAAGAGCCGAAACTAGTTTACTCAAGTTCTGATTTTAAGATTCCATTTTCGTTCAAACTGGCTTACTAAAATACGATCTAGCATACAAGCTTAAACCAGGCTTCCCACTTTCATCTCATGGAGTTTGTTTCGCCGTCTTAATAACATCCAAGTTGATGGACGTCAGACCTCCGCAGCCCACCTGTTTACTAATAACAGCACTTACAGCACTGGCCCTTCCATTCCTTCCTCTGCATTCACTCTGAATCCCTCCCACCTAGCTTTCACACTCTGGTCCTCTCAGCCTGCCTCGCCCTCACCCATTTGCACCACCAGCCACGCCTATCATGTGTTGCAGCAGGTACAGCGATCCCATGTCATGCCTCTCCTCCACCTCACCATTCATGCCTCTTCTTCCCCACCCTCATCACCCTCCTCCCCACGTGCCGCTGCAGTCGCTGCCACCGCTCCTGCCTGTCCCTCCTTCCCTGCAGCGTACCCAACCACGCACCGCACCATGCGCTGCTGCCAGCACACCCGCCTCATATCCCCATTATGCCTCTTCCACACCCCCATCCCCGCCATCATCCTCCTCATGTGCCGGCTGCAGTCGCTGCCACCGCTCCTGCCCGTCCCACCTCCCCTGTAAAGCAGCCAGCCACGCCCCGTGCCGCTCCCCCACCGTTTTCACTGCTGCATCCTCGTGCTGACAGCAAACACACAAAGAGAAGGTGGGCGGGAGAAGGTGAGGAGGGGGAGGGGGGGAAGGAGAAGGAGGGGAAGGGGGTAGGGTGTGGGCAGTGCAAGGCACGGAAGACAGAGTGCAGGGAAGGGAGTGGTTCATCTGGCATGCGTGCATCTGCCTTGTGGTGTCACCATCCAGGAACCATACTGCCTTGTGGTGTCACCATCCAGGAACCATACTACAACAACAGCCATGCATGTGTAGTGCTGAGAGTCTGTATGTGCAAGCAGACATGCATAGCATGTGCACATGCACTCACCAGCAGCGCAGGCGCTCACCTGGTGAGGCGAGGGGTGGGGGCAGATGGCAGCGTGCAGGGCACTGGCGAACTGACTGCGGCAAGGGAGAAGAGAGTGGGGAGAGGGAGGACGGCGGAGTGACGCATGGTGATGGCTTGAGTGGTGGGAGGCGGAAGCACGCACACCAGACGGCCACACGCATGAGCATGCGCGCACATGTACCTCACCACACCGGCAGCACAAGCTCACACCACACCGGCAGCACAAGTAGCCCCACATACAGCACAGCACAGCACAGCACAGCGCAGCACAGCACAGCAGAGCACAGCACAGCACAGCACAGCACAGCACAGCACAGCACAGCACAGCACAGCACAGCACAGCGCAGCACAGCACAGCACAGCACAGCACAGCACAGCGCAGCGCAGCGCAGCACAGCACAGCACAGCACAGCACAGCACAGCACAGCACAGCACAGCACAGCACAGCGCAGCACAGCACAGCACAGCGCAGCGCAGCACAGCACAGCACAGCGCAGCACAGCGCAGCACAGCACAGCACAGCACAGCGCAGCACAGCACCGCACGGCACGGCACAGCACAGCACAGCACAGCACAGCACAGCAAAGCACACAGCACGGCACAGCACACAGCACAGCACAGCACTGGCACCAGCCAGTCAAGCAGAAACAATAGAAGATCCTGTGACATTAGTTACTGGTATGAGCGAAAATGCATGGCCTGTGACATGTAAAGTTAGCGCTGAGAACCCTCAAAAGTCAAATGGATGGCCTGTGACATGTAAAGATATGCTTGGCCTGTGACATGTAAAGATATGCATGGCCTGTGACATGTAAAAATAGCGCTGAAGGGCTAGGGTGTCAGCAGCAGATGCACCCACTGCATACGATGGCATCAGCACCTGATGAGGATCACGTCATCATCGCTGACATGGGTTACGGGCATGGTGGCAGCGAAGTCTATGAGTGAATCTGAGGGGGGGATGCAGGGGGGCATAGGGGGCAAGCATGGATGGATGGAGGCATGGACAGGGGCAGGGAGGGGTTGTGGCCGGAAAGAGTGGGCGGGGGATGGGATAGAGGACGTAAAAGAAGGGATTGTGAGAAGAGTAAGAGTGGATGCGGAGGAAGGGGCGGAAGGATGGGGGTTTTGGACCGCAGGGAGAGGCGAGACAAAGGCTTGCAGGACATGGGAACGATGTGCAAGAGAGATGGTCGAAAGAAAGCACTGCTCCTCACACACCTCATCTGATCCTCATGCTGCACACCCATGTTTCAACTCTCCAGGTGCCGTCTCTCCTCCCTCCATCCCCTCCCTTACCTCATGCTAACTTCCCCCTCAAACCAAAAACACCACTCCGCACCGCATTCCCCTCGTGGGTGTTAGAAGTAGCTGCCACGCATTCGCACATACATTTGACACCTGCACCTGACTCAACCCAACCCCAACTAACCCCATGAACCACAGGTATGACCCCCAACCGCATGACATGAGTCAAGCACGACCCTTCCACACCCATGGACCATGACATGTTTCCTCCCACACCCATGGACCATGACATGTTTCCTCCCACACCCATGGACCATGACATGTTTCCTCCCAAACCCCTTTGTTACCACCGCACCAGCAGCACCATGCCATGCCATGCCATGCCGTGACTCACACAAGTTCTCGCACAAGCCCACTGCCGCCTCTGCCTCTGCTCGCCCCCTCTGCCCCTCCCTTTCCGCCACCACGTCGCTGCCGCCCCCATGCGGTGCACCCTCCCCAGCTGCGCCCTCCCCAGCTGCGCCCTCCCCAGCTGCGCCCTCCCCAGCTGCGCCCTCCCCAGCTGCGCCCTCTCCAGCTGCGCCCTCCCCAGGTGCGGGCGAGAAAGGTTCCTGGTGGCGGATGGCAGAGACAACGAGGTTGAGGAACTGGTGGCGCTGCTCGCCTGGTGGGGTGGGGGGGACGTCGAGGGGTGGGGGGAGGTACGTATGGAATAGCATGCACTCTTTCGCGTATATATGCTTCCACACATGAGCAACACAGTAGAGAGGAGAGAGTTGTGGATGCACATGTTGCGGTGAGGCCAGGCGGAAATGGACATTTGTGTTGAGGGGAAGGCGGGGTGCAAAGCAGCAGGAACCAGCATCCTGATTCTACAGACAGGCGAAATTAGCAAGCAAGGACAGCAGGGCCGAGGGGGCAGCAGAGCAGCGCACCAGGGCAGAGGTTGGGGTCAAAGCAGTGCAGATTGGCGAACAGCTTCACCAGCAGCACCACACTCTGCCACCCACTCCCCACCCCGCCCTCGCCCCCGGCACCTCCAACCGCACCTCCACCCTCTTCCCCCCCTCCCCTTCCCACCCCACTCCTCCCTCCTCCCTGCGCCTTCGCTGCTCTCCCATTCCACGCCCACCCACCCACCCCGTCTGCCTCTGCTGCTACCCCACCCTCCCCTCCCTCCAACCATATCACCCCCTCCGCCCAGTCACTCTCTTCCTTGCCTTCATCACTCCCTCGCTTCCTTTTCTCACTCTCCTTCTTTCTCTTCCTTCCCACCATCTGTTCATCAACTCGGCAAAACTGAAAGTTTCCTCGAAGCTTCCCAACACTTCTGCCATCTCGTGGACCAACCCCCCTTTCTCTACTGCCCCTGCTGCCACTGCGGCTTTTCGACCCAGCTGCCTCCTTATAAGCAGCCCTCGTTACAGCCACAAGCCCTCCCTCAGAAAACGAGAATGGGCCAGAAGAAAGCGTCTCTGTCGAATCCTCCACACCGCTCAACCCACATTTGCCACTCCCCGCCCCTTCACCCCCCTTCCTATTCTCCTCCCCATGGCCGGGCACAGCAGGAGCGACAGCACAGGTGCGGTGCAAGGGTGAGGAGCAGCAGTTGAGGGAGTGTGAGCGTGAGTGGGTGAGATGGAGGGCGAGGCCGAGCGAAGGGAAGGGGCGGAAGAGGACGAAGGCGTCGGCCTCTCGGGCCACAAGGGCCCGCGTGAGCGGGCCGTATAGCCAGCGTGAGGCAAAGGCAGGCGACGGGAGGGCGAGCAGATGCACAAGAAGAGGCGCCTGGAGGGGAGATGTGGTTCAAGAGGAGCAGAGAGAGAAATGCAGAGAGGGAGAGAAGCGGTGTGCATAGGGCATGAGAGCAGGCCGTGCAGCCAGCGCTGAGATATGGGCGACTAGAAAGGTGAGAGAGGCGGAGGAAAGGAGAGGCAAGTGGTGGAGGGAGGTGCAAGAGAAAGAGACATGCACAGCAATGAGACTGAATAAAGCGTGTGCTGCCAGTGCTAGGATGGCAGTGAGAAGTGATGGGGTGAAAAGCAGAACTCACAGAGGAGTTTGCTTAGTGTTGCAGCTGCTGAGCCACTCACAGCACATTTGCTAGGGTGTGCACGCACATGCACGCATGTGAGCATGGGAACGTGTGAAGTGGAGCACAGGCAGAGTCTGGGAGTGGAGCACAGGCAGAGTCTGGGAGTGGAGCACAGGCAGAGTCTGGGAGTGGAGCACAGGCAGAGTCTGGGAGTGGAGCACAGGCAGAGTCTGGGAGTGGAGCACAGGCAGAGTCTGGGAGTGGAGCACAGGCAGAGTCTGGGAGTGGAGCACAGGCAGAGTCTGGGAGTGGAGCACAGGCAGAGTCTGGGAGTGGAGCACAGGCAGAGTCTGGGAGTGGAGCACAGGCAGAGTCTGGGAGTGGAGCACAGGCAGAGTCTGGGAGTGGAGCACAGGCAGAGTCTGGGAGTGGAGCACAGGCAGAGTCTGGGAGTGGAGCTCAGGCAGAGTCTGGGAGTGGAGCACAGGCAGAGTCTGGGAGTGGAGCACAGGCAGAGTCTGGGAGTGGAGCACAGGCAGAGTCTGGGAGTGGAGCACAGGCAGAGTCTGGGAGTGGAGCACAGGCAGAGTCTGGGAGTGGAGCACAGGCAGAGTCTGGGAGTGGAGCACAGGCAGAGTCTGGGAGTGGAGCACAGGCAGATACTGGGAGTGGAGCACAGGCAGAGTCTGGGAGTGGAGCACAGGCAGAGTCTGGGAGTGGAGCACAGGCAGAGTCTGGGAGTGGAGCACAGGCAGAGTCTGGGAGTGGAGCACAGGCAGAGTCTGGGAGTGGAGCACAGGCAGAGTCTGGGAGTGGAGCACAGGCAGAGTCTGGGAGTGGAGCACAGGCAGAGTCTGGGAGTGGAGCACAGGCAGAGTCTGGGAGTGGAGCACAGGCAGAGTCTGGGAGTGGAGCACAGGCAGAGTCTGGGAGTGGAGCACAGGCAGAGTCTGGGAGTGGAGCACAGGCAGAGTCTGGGAGTGGAGCACAGGCAGAGTCTGGGAGTGGAGCACAGGCAGAGTCTGGGAGTGGAGCACAGGCAGAGTCTGGGAGTGGAGCACAGGCAGAGTCTGGGAGTGGAGCACAGGCAGAGTCTGGGAGTGGAGCACAGGCAGAGTCTGGGAGTGGAGCACAGGCAGAGTCTGGGAGTGGAGCACAGGCAGAGTCTGGGAGTGGAGCACAGGCAGAGTCTGGGAGTGGAGCACAGGCAGAGTCTGGGAGTGGAGCACAGGCAGAGTCTGGGAGTGGAGCACAGGCAGAGTCTGGGAGTGGAGCACAGGCAGAGTCTGGGAGTGGAGCACAGGCAGAGTCTGGGAGTGGAGCACAGGCAGAGTCTGGGAGTGGAGCACAGGCAGAGTCTGGGAGTGGAGCACAGGCAGAGTCTGGGAGTGGAGCACAGGCAGAGTCTGGGAGTGGAGCACAGGCAGAGTCTGGGAGTGGAGCACAGGCAGAGTCTGGGAGTGGAGCACAGGCAGAGTCTGGGAGTGGAGCACAGGCAGAGTCTGGGAGTGGAGCACAGGCAGAGTCTGGGAGTGGAGCACAGGCAGAGTCTGGGAGTGGAGCACAGGCAGAGTCTGGGAGTGGAGCACAGGCAGAGTCTGGGAGTGGAGCACAGGCAGAGTCTGGGAGTGGAGCACAGGCAGAGTCTGGGAGTGGAGCACAGGCAGAGTCTGGGAGTGGAGCACAGGCAGAGTCTGGGAGTGGAGCACAGGCAGAGTCTGGGAGTGGAGCACAGGCAGAGTCTGGGAGTGGAGCACAGGCAGAGTCTGGGAGTGGAGCACAGGCAGAGTCTGGGAGTGGAGCACAGGCAGAGTCTGGGAGTGGAGCACAGGCAGAGTCTGGGAGTGGAGCACAGGCAGAGTCTGGGAGTGGAGCACAGGCAGAGTCTGGGAGTGGAGCACAGGCAGAGTCTGGAGTGGAGCCAGGCAGAGTCTGGGAGTGGAGCACAGGCAGAGTCTGGGAGTGGAGCACAGGCAGAGTCTGGGAGTGGAGCACAGGCAGAGTCTGGGAGTGGAGCACAGGCAGAGTCTGGGAGTGGAGCACAGGCAGAGTCTGGGAGTGGAACTGCTTGCATTAGAATTCCTCAAGAGTGAAAGCATGGCGTGAAGCATGGCGTGAAGCATGGCGTGAAGCATGGCGTGAAGCATGGCGTGAAGCATGGCGTGAAGCATGGCGTGAAGCATGGCGTGAAGCATGGCGTGAAGCATGGCGTGAAGCATGGCGTGAAGCATGGCGTGAAGCATGGCGTGAAGCATGGCGTGAAGCATGGCGTGAAGCATGGCGTGAAGCATGGCGTGAAGCATGGCGTGAAGCATGGCGTGAAGCAAAGACACACACAGGGCTACAGGTGAAAGGCTTAGGTGTCCAGTGCAGTGCAGTGCACAAGGCATGGGAATGTGAGTGAGTGAGGGGTAGCATGGGAATAAGGTGGCAGGTGAGCATGGCAACGCACGGCATGCAGCATGAAGAAGGGGCGGAAGCTGGAGTCGTCTGAAAGCACCTCCGCCGCCCGCAGCACGTTCACACTCAGCCGCCCCCAGGGGAGTGGCGCGTGTGGTGGGGGGAAGGAGGCAGAGGAGGAGGAGGGCGTGTGGCGGGAGAGGAGGCGGGCTGTGAGGTGAACGTTGGCGATGGCAGTGGCGTGCAGGAGAGAGAGGATCTGGGGGGAGGGAGTGGGCACGGGTGTTGGGGCGGTTTGAGGAGTGTTTGGGAAGAGAATGCAGAAGATGCAGGTGAGTCGCGTGGGATGGAGGGCACGTGCATGAATGAAGCATCTGAGAGTGGTACAGGCAGGCAAACAATGGTTGAAGCATGAAAGCAGCGAACAGAGCTGTGCTCTCTTGTGAACAGACAGAGTGACAAGCACGATACCTCTTTTGTTACACTGTGCGCCAGCTGTAACGAGGCTGGATTGGCTGCCACGTCATCCAGAAAGGTGGAGCCGTCCGCCTCACTGACTGTGAGGAACTGCCATGGGCGGAGGGGAATGAGTAAGGGAGGGAGTGAAGGAGGGAGTGAGGAAGGTGACATGAGGGGAGACGGGAGGAAGTGAGGGACGCAGGAAGGCATGGTTTCGACAGAAAATTCAATGAACATGAGTGCGGTTTTGAGGCGCCTCAAAACTAAAATTCAATGAACATGAGTGCGGTTTTGAGGCGCCTCAAAACTAAAATTCAATGAACATGAGTGCGGTTTTGAGGCGCCTCAAAACTAAAATTCAATGAACATGAGTGCGGTATTGAGGCGCCTCAAAACTAAAATTCAATGAACATGAGTGCGGTTTTGAGGCGCCTCAAAACTAAAAGTCAATGAACATGAGTGCGGTTTTGAGGCGCCTCGAAACTAAAAGTCAATGAACATGAGTGCGGTTTTGAGGCGCCTCAAAACTAAAAGTCAATGAACATGAGTGCGGTTTTGAGGCGCCTCAAAACTAAAAGTCAATGAACATGAGTGCGCCTCGAACTTCTAAGATGGAAAGAGAAGAGAACCTGCGGAGTGGAATCACCACACAGCACCCCAAGATTCACCAAACAGCACCCCAAGATTCACCAAACAGCACCCCAAGATTCACCAAACAGCACCCCAAGATTCACCAAACAGCACCCCAAGATTCACCAAACAGCACCCCAAGATTCACCAAACAGCACCCCAAGATTCACCAAACAGCACCCCAAGATTCACCAAACAGCACCCCAAGATTCACCAAACAGCACCCCAAGATTCACCAAACAGCACCCCAAGATTCACCAAACAGCACCCCAAGATTCACCAAACAGCACCCCAAGATTCACCAAACAGCACCCCAAGATTCACCAAACAGCACCCCAAGATTCACCAAACAGCACCCCAAGATTCACCAAACAGCACCCCAAGATTCACCAAACAGCACCCCAAGATTCACCAAACAGCACCCCAAGATTCACCAAACAGCACCCCAAGATTCACCAAACAGCACCCCAAGATTCACCAAACAGCACCCCAAGATTCACCAAACAGCACCCCAAGATTCACCAAACAGCACCCCAAGATTCACCAAACAGCACCCCAAGATTCACCAAACAGCACCCCAAGATTCACCAAACAGCACCCCAAGATTCACCAAACAGCACCCCAAGATTCACCAAACAGCACCCCAAGATTCACCAAACAGCACCCCAAGATTCACCAAACAGCACCCCAAGATTCACCAAACAGCACCCCAAGATTCACCAAACAGCACCCCAAGATTCACCAAACAGCACCCCAAGATTCACCAAACAGCACCCCAAGATTCACCAAACAGCACCCCAAGATTCACCAAACAGCACCCCAAGATTCACCAAACAGCACCCCAAGATTCACCAAACAGCACCCCAAGATTCACCAAACAGCACCCCAAGATTCACCAAACAGCACCCCAAGATTCACCAAACAGCACCCCAAGATTCACCAAACAGCACCCCAAGATTCACCAAACAGCACCCCAAGATTCACCAAACAGCACCCCAAGATTCACCAAACAGCACCCCAAGATTCACCAAACAGCACCCCAAGATTCACCAAACAGCACCCCAAGATTCACCAAACAGCACCCCAAGATTCACCAAACAGCACCCCAAGATTCACCAAACAGCACCCCAAGATTCACCAAACAGCACCCCAAGATTCACCAAACAGCACCCCAAGATTCACCAAACAGCACCCCAAGATTCACCAAACAGCACCCCAAGATTCACCAAACAGCACCCCAAGATTCACCAAACAGCACCCCAAGATTCACCAAACAGCACCCCAAGATTCACCAAACAGCACCCCAAGATTCACCAAACAGCACCCCAAGATTCACCAAACAGCACCCCAAGATTCACCACACAGCACCCCAAGATTCACCACACAGCACCCCAAGATTCACCAAACAGCACCCCAAGATTCACCAAACAGCACCCCAAGATTCACCAAACAGCACCCCAAGATTCACCAAACAGCACCCCAAGATTCACCAAACAGCACCCCAAGATTCACCAAACAGCACCCCAAGATTCACCAAACAGCACCCCAAGATTCACCAAACAGCACCCCAAGATTCACCAAACAGCACCCCAAGATTCACCAAACAGCACCCCAAGATTCACCAAACAGCACCCCAAGATTCACCAAACAGCACCCCAAGATTCACCAAACAGCACCCCAAGATTCACCAAACAGCACCCCAAGATTCACCACACAGCACCCCAAGATTCACCAAACAGCACCCCAAGATTCACCAAACAGCACCCCAAGATTCACCAAACAGCACCCCAAGATTCACCACACAGCACCCCAAGATTCACCAAACAGCACCCCAAGATTCACCAAACAGCACCCCAAGATTCACCAAACAGCACCCCAAGATTCACCAAACAGCACCCCAAGATTCACCACACAGCACCCCAAGATTCACCAAACAGCACCCCAAGATTCACCAAACAGCACCCCAAGATTCACCAAACAGCACCCCAAGATTCACCAAACAGCACCCCAAGATTCACCAAACAGCACCCCAAGATTCACCAAACAGCACCCCAAGATTCACCAAACAGCACCCCAAGATTCACCAAACAGCACCCCAAGATTCACCAAACAGCACCCCAAGATTCACCAAACAGCACCCCAAGATTCACCAAACAGCACCCCAAGATTCACCAAACAGCACCCCAAGATTCACCAAACAGCACCCCAAGATTCACCAAACAGCACCCCAAGATTCACCAAACAGCACCCCAAGATTCACCAAACAGCACCCCAAGATTCACCACACAGCACCCCAAGATTCACCACACAGCACCCCAAGATTCACCAAACAGCACCCCAAGATTCACCAAACAGCACCCCAAGATTCACCAAACAGCACCCCAAGATTCACCAAACAGCACCCCAAGATTCACCAAACAGCACCCCAAGATTCACCACACAGCACCCCAAGATTCACCACACAGCACCCCAAGATTCACCAAACAGCACCCCAAGATTCACCAAACAGCACCCCAAGATTCACCAAACAGCACCCCAAGATTCACCAAACAGCACCCCAAGATTCACCAAACAGCACCCCAAGATTCACCAAACAGCACCCCAAGATTCACCAAACAGCACCCCAAGATTCACCAAACAGCACCCCAAGATTCACCAAACAGCACCCCAAGATTCACCAAACAGCACCCCAAGATTCACCAAACAGCACCCCAAGATTCACCAAACAGCACCCCAAGATTCACCAAACAGCACCCCAAGATTCACCAAACAGCACCCCAAGATTCACCAAACAGCACCCCAAGATTCACAGCACAGTCAACCGCAGCGGCAGCACGACACAGACCATCTGAATGGCTCGGCTCTTGCAGCGAGAAATGGCCGCCACCAGGGCCTCTGGCGGCACGGCTTGGCGTGACGGGCCATCGCATGGGGAGGCGGAGGGAAGGGGAGACGAGATGGAGGGATGAGTGGGGTTGGACGGCGGGCAGGGGAGAGGAGGGAGAGGCGGAGGGAGGAGGGCGGGGAGGGGCAAGCGGAGGACAGAGAGGAGCAGGCGGAGGACAGCCCCGCCTTGGATGAGGTCCTGACGAGGGAAAGGAGGGGAGGAAAGGAGAGGGGAGCAGATGGATAGGGGGAAAATGTGGTGGTTTCAGGATGAGTGCACGTAGGGGAAAATGTGGTGGTGGGCCCAAAGTTGGGTTGCATGGGCACAGCAAGCCATGTGCATGGGCACAGCAAGCCATGTGCATGGGCACAGCAAGCCATGTGCACATGGCGCAAATCAACCGACACGGAGTGAGCACATTGCGCATGTGTGGGCGAGATTGGGAGCTTATTGATGGCTTCTGACCGCCCCCCCCTGGTACCACTGCGCAGCTGCGCACCTACTGGCAAACCCACACACGCACCTGGTGGTGCAGCAGCAGGGCGCCCAGCCCATCAGCGCGGCACAGCACGTGCAGCACCTGCAGAGCCGCCTCGCACTGCCGCACCACCCCCTGCACCGACCCCCACTCCACACCTTGCCATGCCCTCCCTTCATCCCCGCCTGCATCCCTCCCCCCATCCCTCCTTCCAACAACCCCTCTGCCCGCATGTGTGAAGGCGGCAAGCGGGGGCGAGAGCAGGGAGTGCAGCAGGAGGAAGGCGGTGGTGACGGCTGAGAAGGCCGCCGGCAGGAAGGCCCCCACCTGGGCGGGATGGGTAGGCGCATGGGGAGGAGGAGGGATGGGTAGGTGTATGGGGAGGAGGAGGGATGGGTAGGTGTATGGGGAGGAGGAGGGATGGGTAGGTGTATGGGGAGGAGGAGGAATGGGTAGGTGTATGGGGAGGAGGAGGGATGGGTAGGTGTATGGGGAGGAGGAGGGATGGGTAGGTGTATGGGGAGGAGGAGGGATGGGTAGGTGTATGGGGAGGAGGAGGGATGGGTAGGTGTATGGGGAGGAGGAGGGATGGGTAGGTGTATGGGGAGGAGGAGGGATGGGTAGGTGTATGGGGAGGAGGAGGGATGGGTAGGTGTATGGGGAGGAGGAGGGATGGGTAGGTGTATGGGGAGGAGGAGGGATGGGTAGGTGTATGGGGAGGAGGAGGGATGGGTAGGTGTATGCGGAGGAGGAGAGATGGGTAGGTGTATGGGGAGGAGGAGGGATGGGTAGGTGTATGGGGAGGAGGAGGGATGGGTAGGTGTATGGGGAGGAGGAGGGATGGGTAGGTGTATGGGGAGGAGGAGGGATGGGTAGGTGTATGGGGAGGAGGAGGGATGGGTAGGTGTATGGGGAGGAGGAGGGATGGGTAGGTGTATGGGGAGGAGGAGGGATGGGTAGGTGTATGGGGAGGAGGAGGGATGGGTAGGTGTATGGGGAGGAGGAGGGATGGGTAGGTGTATGGGGAGGAGGAGGGATGGGTAGGTGTATGGGGAGGAGGAGGGATGGGTAGGTGTATGGGGAGGAGGAGGGATGGGGATGGGTGGGAGGATGGATGGGTGGACTGGTGGGAAGGAGGGACAGGTGGATGGGATGAAGGAGGGACGGGTTTCAAAGAGGTTTCAACACACCAAGGGGTGCAGGGAGAGCACGGAGCAAGTGTCGATCCAGTCGGGGGTGACGAAGGCGGGCAGCAGGTACAGGCATGACGCCACCGTTCCCGCATACAGTGCTGCTCCCCCCACCGCCGCCTCCTCCACTGCCGCCTCTTCCACTGCCGCCTCCCCCACTGCTGCATTTTTAATTGCTGCATCTCCCGATGCTGCCTCCCTATTTCCGACGTTCTCCCTTCCCGCCTTCCCCCCCATCGTGCATGCCTCATCACCCTTGCCTGCTGCACCATCTGCCCTCGCTGCCTCACCTGCCCTCGCTGCCTCACCTGCCCTCGCTGCCTCACCTGCCCTTGCTTTACCACCTACACTCGTCACTGCATCCACCCCTTTTGCCTCCTGCGTGCCACAACTGCCACCCACAACCGCCATGCTATTCTCTGCATCCCCCCCAGTGCCCGCCCCACACGTGCTGCCGGTGCCTGCTTCGCCTTCCCTTGCTGCACCACCTGCGCCATCAACCCCCTGCCCTCCACTACCATCCGGAGCAACCCTGTGGGTATTAGCACTAACAGCACCATCAGCAACACCACCACCACCACCAGCACTCGTGGCAGCACAAAAACAGCCTGCCGCCTGTGCCTGCTCGCACCCCCATACTCCCATGCCTGCTGCTCCTACTGCTGCTGCATCCGCCCTGCTGCCACCCTCCTTTCCATACCCGTCACCATCTCTGCTGCTGCCCCGCCGTGCACCACCATACCCGTCCCTGCCGCTGCCACCACCACTGCCATCGCCACTATACCCTTCGCCGCCCCTGCTCTTTCCAATGAGGTGCTGCCGGGGGGAACGGGAAGATGGCAACGTCCGTGAGAGCGTGCGAACACGTGGAGTGAGCGCGTCGACGCGGCACTCGCAAATGAGAGCTTGGGAGGGAAGGGGAGGCTGTCACAGCGTGGCACGGTGGGGTGACTTGCAGCCTTACAGGCAGCATGGACAGAAGAACAGCAGAGTGGCAAGAGAGCGGTGGAATGGGAAGCAACGCTCGGGACGAAAAGGGAGCAGGGAGAGGCGTGGGGCTACATTGGACTCCAATGATTGGAGGAGCCGTGGAGCCAACGGTGTGGGGCTCCACTGCTCCACTGACAGGGAAGGGCTACGGCTGCGGCTGTGGGGCATGGCAATGACAATGTTCTCAGAAGCGATGTCATGTGGTGTTTTTTTTATTTGATGAAATACACTATGACATGCATACAAGTTACAACCACAGTCGTAACTGGGGTGGGGTGTGGTGTGGTGTGGGTGCACTAGCCGACCGCGCAAACAAGCCCACAGGTGGGTGACCGTTGTGCTTGGCATAGGAGCAGCACAGTAGAGAGAGCAGAAAGAGGGAGACGATGGGTGGCAGAGCAAGAAAAGGGTAGGACAGGGATGTGGTAGCGTCTCTCACAAGGTGGCATGAGAGAGGGAGCAGCACGGGCATTGTGTGTCAAGTGGCTGGTACCTACCCACCTGGTGTGGAGCAGCGAGGGCGACGGTGAGCAGCACAACCAGATCCAGCATGTGGCGCCGCACACTCGTGCTCACCAGGAGAACCTGAGGGGTTGTGGGCCATGGGTGATGTGAGGGTACGGACGGGGAATCACGGGCACGAGAGGGGCACACGGAGGTGAGGTGAGGGTGAGCAGGAAGCAGGCAGGGTTTAGATGGCCCATCATACCATGCCATGCCACCATGCAGCAGTGCACGACAGCGCACTCAGTGCAGTCAACTCGCCAAGCAACGGGCTTCTTGCTTTTGCAGGCTAACACTGCACTAGAATTGAAATGTCCAGTGCGCGTGTACCCACACACCCACACACACACACAAGCAAAAACAACCACCACACACCCCCCCCTTTCCCCTCCCCCTCCCCCCCCCTCCCTCCCTCCCCCCCCCTCACACACACTCACCTGGTGCAGGTGGGGCATGTGGGTAGCGAGGTCGCACAGCGAGTGCAGCAGGCGCACCCCCTTGGCCACATGCACCAACCACACCTCCCCGCCCCCCTCGCCTGCCCGCCCTCCTTCAGATGCCAACCCACACTGCTCCCTTGCAGTCACCCCATAGCCCTCCTCTCTCTTGCCTTCCTTTTTATTCCCCCGCTCATCAACTCTACTTGTCTTCCCACTCTTCTGCTCCCCTCCCTCCCCTGTCTCTAATCCACACCTTCTCTTCTCGCCTCTCCTCTCTCCCTCCTCCCCGCCTTCAACCCCCCCTCCTCCATTTGCTCCCCCCTCATGCTCCATGTGTCTCAGAAGCCACCCCACTGTTGTCGTGCTGTTGCTGCTGATGGTGAAAACACTGTCTTTTACAGTCACACCACTGAACCCGTCAACTACCCTCCCCTCCACCTCCACACCCTCATGTGACTGCCTCTCCTCGCCTGTGTCTGCTTCCACATTCCCTCCCATCCTCTCCCTCGCCCCTCCCTCCAGCCCACCCCCCTCCTCCTCACCTCCCCTCCCCTCTCCACCCCCGCTCTGCACACCTGATTCGATAACCTGCCTCTCACCCCCTTCATCACCCCCTCCCCCCTCCCGCTTCCCACCTATCTCACCCTCAACACTCCCCACGCCACCCCCACCCTCTCTCCCCTTCTCTCCACTGCCATCGCAGTCTCTCCCCCCAACATCCCCTTGACGCACCTCACCACCACCAGTGCCTGCCACACGCGTGTGCCCGCCCTGCTGCTGCGCCCACCACGCCACTCTCGCCACCCTCGCCCCATGCCGGATGGTCACTGCCAGGGGGGCGCTGCCGCACTCAGGAGGCTGGGAGGAGCCGCTGCTGGGTTGCTTAATGTGGGGAGCGGTTGGTTGGGGGGTGGATGACTGCGGCTGGGGTGCGGTTGGTTGCGGTGCGGATGGTTGGGTGAGGTGCGTGGGTGAGGGGGAGGGGCTAGATTGAGGGGGGAGAGAAGGGGAGGCAGGCATGCTTGGGGGACGACGAGATGGGGAGGCTGTAGCAGGGGGGGCTGCAGCAGTGGGGGTGGGGGCTGTCGCAGTGGGGGCTGTAGCAGTATGGGCTGTAGCAATAGGGGCTGTGGCAGTAGGGGTTGTGGCAGTGGGAGTTGTGGCAGTGGTGTGAGCGGTGGTGTCTGTGTTAGCACAAAGCACGGCAGAAGGTTCCGCTGTTGCAGCTCCAGTAGCAGCAGCTGTTACTTCTTTGGCAGCAGCAACTGTTATTACATCTTTTACAGCAGTACCACCACCTCCCGTTTCATCTTTGGAAGCACCACCTCCCGTTTCATCTTTGGCAGCACCACCCCCCGCTTCATCGTTGGCAGCATCATCTCCTGTCACATCATGGGTAGCAGCAGCAGGCACTGCAATATCTTCAGCACCCGTCATTGCAGAAATGGATCTCTCCCCAGACATAAAAGTCGCAACACATACACCTTTAAGAGGAGGAGAAGAAAGTACGGTTACATCTCTAAGAGCTGCAGCAGAAGCAAGAGCAACTGCTGTTACATCTCTGGCAGCACCACCACCAACACCACCAGCACCAGCAGTAGATACATCACTCGCTTGCTTGGGCTGCCTCTGCGCGCACGCCTCCCCACCCTCGGTCCGACTGCACGGTTCCTCCTTCCCCTCTCTCTCACCCTCGCCTGCTCGCCCCTGCTTACTCTCCGCCTCCACTGTCTCTTCTCTCGCCCCTCCCATCACACGACCTGCTGCCTTCCCTTCACCCACAGCACTCCCCTCGCCCTGTGCCTGCCTCCACACACGCTCCCCACCCTGTGTCCGACTGCACGGCTCCTCCTGCTTACTGCGTGCCTCCACCATTGCCTCTCCCCCGTGTCTGACTCTCGTCCCTCCCATCACACGCCCGTCTGTCTTCCCTTCACCCACTTCTGCACTCCCCATCCCCCTTCCCCCCATCCCTCCTCCCCCAATCCCGCCTCCACCCATCCCGCCTGCCTCCCCGCCCTGGGCCACCACCTCTCCACGCCCCCCTTCCGCCCCCTCCAGCCACGCCCGCTTGGCCTGAGGGAGGTCGCCGTGAGAGTGGCAGGGAGGGCTAGCGGCGGGACAAGGAGACGGGGGAGTGTGTGCCGGGACGTTGGGGGGAGGAGGATCGGGCGAGTGAGTGTGTTGCAGGGCGAGGGCAGCGCAGGAGAGGAGGTGGAGAGGCAGTGATGCTGCGAGGAGAGGCAGATCCACCTGATGTGTGTGCTCTCATGATGGCATGACGGCATGCATGCCCATGGATTGCACGCGTGCATTTTAGTCCACGCATGCATTCCAATCCACGCATGCATTCCAATCCACACATGCATTCCACCAATCCACGCATGCATTCCAATCCACGCATGCATTCCAATCCACGCATGCATTCCAATCCACGCATGCATTCCAATCCACGCATGCATTCCAATGCACGCATGCATTCCACCAATCCACGCATGCATTCCAATCCACGCACACATGGGTCGATTGCACATGCACGCGTACAAGCCATCCCATCCCATGTGATCACATGCGCATGGGTGAATTCACACGTGCAACCGTATGTGCATGCATGCAACCGCACCCGATCATATCCACACAAGTATGTGGCACGCACACATGCAATAATGAGCTCAGGTACAGATGACTTGCCCGCAAGCATGCACACACATGTGCATATGGACAAGCGTGCAAGGAAGGCACGAGAGAATGGAGTGGGGTGGGAAAAGAACCTAAAGAATGACTTTTCAGTCTACTTAAAACCAGGGTCTCAAGTAAGAGATTCTGCCATCAACTGCAAAACATTTGAGACTGAGTTACCTTGTTTTTCTAGGCGAGGCGGACTGGTTGGCTAGGGAAGTAGGCGTGCGACACTCCCCCACTTTTGCCTCAGCACCAATTGCAAAACAAATTTCAGGTACATGAGACTTTCGACAACTCTTGACATTTCACTGGCACTCTAGCTTCGGCTCCGAACCTGTTTCCATACCTATAAGGTTTGGATCACAGCAAACGATTTTGTTCCCTTCGCATCCCTCGCTGCACCCCTTTTCGTTTTTCCAACCTCGTCAACCAATGGGAAACGGGGGTTTCCCATCAACTGCAAAACAAATGATCTACGTGGGACCCTGGTTTTAACAGAAGGGAGCGGGGTTCGTAGTGAATCCAGGGGGGGGACAGTCAGGCGCCAAGAAAAGCATGGAGGAAGTTGGAGCGGAAGGGATGTGGAAGGAAGCGATGGGGGAAGGAAAGAAAGGGGCAAGGCCGAGGCGCCTACATGCGTGCTCACGCCGCTGCGCTTGTCCCACAAGCGAATGGGCGGCAAGTCCACCGGCGGTTTGTGCTGACGTGGCAAGCTATCTGTCTGACGTGGCAAGCTATCCGTCCGACGTGGCGCATCGCGCAGCGCGTGCTGCACGAGCGCCATGAGGTCGTTGGAGCTCATCGCGTGCAGCTCCTCCACGGCGAACCCCACGTTGCACACGCCACGCCAAGCCTCGCCACTCACCGCGCCGCCTCCGCCGCCTCCGCCGCCTCCGTCGCTGCTGCCGTTGCCGCCGCCGCTCATGGCTGCGCAGCGCACTCGCCGCTGTTACCAAGATGCGAGCTGTGGGCAAGGGCGGTGGTCGAACACTGTTCGGGGCGGAAGGGCGTGTGACGGGCTCTCACAGCTCCATAGAGCGCTAGAGCGCGGAGCACTTCAAGCCAATCCGCGCGTGCGAAGGGAAATCCGAGCGGGCCGAAACGGATTCGGCCAATGGGAGCCGTTTTCCGAGCGCAGGCTGCTTCGGAGGCCACTCGCGATTCCTTTCGCAGGCCAATCCGCGCGTGCGAAGCGATCTTCGAGCTGCCCGAAACGGAGCCGGCCAATCCCCGTCGTTTACTAGGGTTGAAATTCTCGCAAGAGCCTCACGAAAAATCATCCCCGGTGTATAACATGTTGATTTTAAATTTACAGTACGGAGTGTACGTCATTCGCCATTATAATGATCCATGAAATAATTTTCACGCACCGGAGAAATCATCTTGTGCGCGTTTATCTATAATCTTAAATAGTGTAGAGTTTATTCGGGCGACCAAGTTTGGTGTTCTGGATCGTTACCTCGGATTTCGGCGGACGCGATGAGGAAAATACTCCCCGCGAGAGCTGGTAACCACCCCCGATCGGGGCTCGCGGATGGAGTGCAACGTGGCAAACGTGAGGTGCACAAGCGTGCATGAAGCGGAACCTCCCCCCTTGACAAGTCCAAAGTGGTGTGCGGGTTCACAGGCACGCGCAGGTTGACCGCAGTCCCATTTCTTGTTTCCCCCCTCGGCCCCCTCTTAGGTTCTCGGTAAGGGTTTCTGGTGCTCATTTTCATTCTTTGTGTTCTTATCTTGTTTTCTTCCTGCTCGCCCGTTCCACCTAGCGATGTTCATCGCCTAGAGCTAGCAGAGACTCTGCTTGGTCGTGTTCGCGCTTATTTAATACTAGACCAGGAACTCCTATTTGTTATTGCATGTATTTTTAGCGGACGGTTCCTCCTAGATACCCCGTACCTCTGGTCGTGCTATTGTGGTGGTACCAGTAATGAACCGCGAAATGAAGGCGCAGAGAGCTGGGTCGAAGGAGGTTGCCTCCTGTCCGGCTATTATATCTGTTGCGGGAGCCACCGTGGAGCTTGCCCCTGAAAAGTGGAAGCTGCTTGGCGAAGATAAGCATCCGTTCACGGCTCGTTTGTTCGACTTTGTCAATAGGTGAGATCCCGTCGAACCATACCCTGATTCCAGTATGCACGCGTATTTTGTGGTTGCGATGTTCTTGGTGATCACGACATGTCCGCAGTATTTACTCATGGGCAGTGCAGGTCGCATAGTACACCCGCGGTGCATTTAGTGTTTTACGATTTCACCAATACCACTTTTCGCACAGCGTTATTGTTCAGAGGTTTCTGGAAAAGGAGGTGCAGGAGCACGTCCAAGTCGTGACGAGCAACGTTGTCGTGAACATGGTAGCGGGTCGCGATGAAGAAGTCGACGCCTTTGCCGGTGTGATGGAGTGCAGTCTGGTTGCATTCTGCATGTGGTACGAGTAAGTATTAATTGGGAGTTTTTAAAAAGGGTCTGCACTCGATTTCATGGATCAAAACGGTCGTCACTGCTCCGTCCAGGAACATCATCGACAAGAAGAGCTCGAACGCGTAAATGCTCCTTCTACTTCGCTTGGACCACTTGACGCTAGACGGTGACCAGGCTTGCAACACTCGGTTCGTTCGCATTGCTACCCCACCGGTTGGCGCGGAACACCTCACCGCGACAGAGAAGATCGCATAGTGAGTATCGCGAACAAGTGTCTGCTTATACCTCATGTTCCGTTCCGCTCCCTAACTAGAATGTTCCCGTGGCTATGTCTGTATGGTTGGCGAGGTGGTTTCAGGGTCGCGTTCGAGCGAATTTCGCGCATGCCTCCTGAGAAGAAACGAGAAATGAGTGAACTATGAAAGAAGTGGGTACAAGTACTAACCCTAATTGGGTTGTACCCCCTATGGGATACCCCACTACAGCCTACAAAATATGTATAAGCTATAATGTTCTGACACACCCCCATAGGCAAAGTGGGGGAGAACAGGGGGTCACAAGGCCAGTCAAGCAAAGCAAGCTCAGGGTGGATCACAAAGTCACCACACATTCCGAGCACAAGTTCAAGGCCACAAGGCCAGTTCACATGCAGGAGTACATATATATATAAGGCTAAACAAGCAAGAGCAGGTATATATATATGTAACAGTACAAGTAAGGTCAAGAGGTGAGCAAGTGAGGCAAGACATGCACAAGACCCAGCTGCGTGCAGAAGCGCTGATGATCACAAGGCGCAAGTGCCTTGGTGAAGACATCAGCAGTGTTGGCCTCAGAGGCCACGTACGCAAGCCGCAACTGACCACGATGCTGTAGCTCACGAGCAAGGAAGTAGCGGAGAGCAATGTGCTTTGTTCTGTGCTCCAGTCTCTGCTCTCGACACAAGGCCAGCATGGCCTTGTTGTCTACATACAGAACTGGAGGAGAACGAGGCGGCTCTCCGAGGTCAATCAGCAGGTAGGTGAGCCAGCGAAGCTCCTGTGCAGCCATGGCCCTTGCGTAGATCTCAGCCTCACAACTGGAGCCGAGAACAGAAGACGAGCGAGTAGCCCGCCACGAAACAGAGCCGGAACCAAGGCTGAAGGTGTAACCCTGTGACGACCGCTGCGTAGCCTGGTCGTCAGCCCAAGAAGCGTCTGCGTGCCTAGTGAGGACCACTGGACTCCGCCCTCCAAGCACTAGCCCCATGCCCGACGTACTGCACAAGTAGCGCAACACCCTCTTCACTACAGCCATGTGCTCTAGTCAGTGTCTCCCAGGAGCAACATAGCGTGCGAGAATGCTAAGAGGGTATGCAAGGTCAGGTCGTGTGCAGGTCATCAGGTACATGAGGCAGCCAACAAGCTCTGGGTACGGGCCACTCGACTCTACGGACTCATCCGAAGGCAGAGCTGAGAGCGAGTGGCGAGTAGGCAGAGGAGTGGCCTGAGGCGAGGAGTACGTGAAGCCGAAGCGCTGAAGGACCTGCTGCACCATATGTGACTGAGTCAGGGTAATGGTGCGGCGTGCTCTGTCCCGGGTGATCTGCAAGCCAAGGTAGCTGCGCAGTTCACCCAGGTCTGTGCACGTGTGTCTTTTCTGCAGCTCGGACTTCACGTAGGCGAGTCTAGCAGTGTCAGCTGTGGCAAAGACCAAGTCGTCGACGTACACGAGGATGTAGAACGGTGGCAGAGAGGTGTCGGTGCGCAGAAACAGCGATGGGTCGGCAGTAGAGGGAGCAAATCCAAGAGCCGCAAGCGTAGTCCTCAGTGTGTCGTGCCACTCACGGGGCGCCTAGCGGAGACTGTAGACTGGACGCCGGAGACTCCACTGGGTGCCAAGAGGGAACGACCCAATGAAGCCAGGTGGGCGGCGCAGCCAGATCTCCTCGTGCAGGCTGCCCTGCAAGAAAGCTGTGCTGAAGTCAAGAGAGTGCAGCTCGTAGTCACGGTGAGCAGCAACGTGCAGCAGTACCCAAAGAGTGGTCATCTTCGGGGTGGGAGAGAAGGTCTGAAAGTAGTCAACTCCCTGCCGCTGACTGAAGCCACGAGCCACGTAACGTGCCTTGAAGACAGGTGTAGAACCCGGCGGCCGCTTCACCCTGAAAATCCACATGCCACTGACGATGTTCGCCCTAGGCGGGGGAACCTCGTCAACGTAGGTGCCTGTGGACTTCGAGAAAGCCATCTCTGCATCCATAGCTGCCTGCCACTTAGAGGAGTAGGGACCCTCTATCGCCTCCGCTTAAGAGCGCGGAGTCGGGATATCAAGTGCATTCGGGTCTCCCTTAGGGGTAAGCAGTACGGACACGAGATGAGGTGAAGCAGCAGCCAGATTCTGGAACTCCTCCTGCCTGTCCTCAAGGACGTCCGCGCCAAGGGCACACTCACCCCCGATTGACGGAGGACAAACAGACTTAGACTCAGCGACAAGACTAGCAGCATAGTCTAGGCGACAGCGAGCAGCAAAGTCGACGAGCTCAGCAACTAGGGCAGACGCAGCAGTGGACTCGAAAGAAGGGTCAGTGATGACAGTAGCAAGGAGACGCGTGACAGTAGGTCTGGCAGCACGAAGAGAGTCCGACTCCGGGTCCGCAAGAGCAGGAAGAGAGGACTAAGGAGGAGAAGGCAAAGGGGCATGCAGAGGAGCAGTGGACGCACGCAGAGACATCCGGTGCATGCCAGGGACAGGAGGAGGACGCTGACGCGAACCACGAGCACTAGTGCGAGCAGCACGGACACGCGACGCAGGGCGAGACGCAAGCTCACGACGCTCAGCAAGACCTCCAGTAGGACCAGTGTAGGGAGAAGGAGCAAGCAATGGGGAGGGCGGCTGTAACTGTAACTGTGACGGGACAGGCTGTGGACACTCTAAGGGAAGAGGAGGACCAGTAGACGGCGGAAGACCAAGAACCTGTTGAAGGAGCGGAACGAAGTACGGTCGAGGCCGCCCGGCGACTCCAGACACAGCACGGACAGCACCAGTACCCCCAGCAGGAGCACCATCTCCAGCAGCACCTCCACCTCCAGTACCCGCAGCAGCTCCAGTAGCTCCAGAACCTCCAGCAGCACTAGTAGCACCCCCAGCAGGAGTCTCAGCGCCAACACCCTCAGCAGCTCCAGCTCCTGTCGAACCCGTAGGCCCAGCAGCTCCAGTACTCCCTATACGAGCACCTCCGGGACCCGCGACAGCAGCACCCTCAGTAGCGGAAGAACCTCCAGCTCCAGCAGTACGCCTCCAGGTGGGGGCAAACCACTCGCGCAACTCCTGTGGAGAGAGTGGCTCCCGCCGAGACGAAGAACCCGGAGAACCTCCAGGCACTGTACCGCAGACGCGACACGAGCAGGCACAGCTCCCGCAGGCTCCGCACCCCCAGGCTCCGCACCCCCAGGCTCCGCACCCCCAAGCTCTGCACCCCCAGGCTTTGCACTCCCAGTCGTAGCACCCCCAGGCTCAGCACCCCCAAGCGTAGCACCCCCAGGCTCAGCACCCCCAAGTGTAGCACCCCCTAGCTCAGCACCCCTAGTCGCTGCACCCCCAGGCTCAGCACCCCCAGGCTCAACACCCCCAGTAGAAGTACCCTCAGCCTCAGCACCCTCAGAGTCAGCACCCCCAGGCTCAGCACCCTTAGCAGCACCAGAGTCACTAGCAACCTCGTCAGGCTCGACAGCGTCTACCTGGGACACACCTGAAGGGGCAGGACCCTGAGGGGGGAGGGGGCCTACCGGGGGGGGACCTGGCACAAGGAAGAGCGGTGGCGGGGGAAGGGACGGAGTGCGGTAGGGGAAGAGGCGGTAGTAGGGGACCGTCTCGTCAAACGTGACATTCTGGGAGGACAGAACACGGCGAGAGGTGGGGTGGTAGAACTGCCACCCTGGCGCGTCAGGGGGGAAACCCAGGAAGACGCAAGGAGCAGCACGAGGGGACAGCTTGTCTGCAGACAAGTCGCGGACAAACGCCCGAGATCGCCAGACACGGAACGCAGACGCATCGCCAACCTTCCCCGTCCACAGCAGGGCTGGGGAGGTCTCCGGCAAGGAGACCCTGGGCTGAAGGTTGATCTGATGCGCCGCGTACCGAACCGCAAACGGCCACAGGAAATGGGGGGCAACCGCATGCATCATGGACGGTCGAGCGACGTCCATGACCATGCCAATGCGGCGCTCAGCAATCCCATTTTGCTATGGAGAGTGCGGAAGCGTGAAGGTCTGGCGGATGCCTCGTGCACAACAGTAGGCTCGCAGGAGGCCAGAGGAGAACTCTCCGCTTCTGTCAGAGTGCAGACGCAGAACAGGAAAGTCCGAGCCGAAGCTCTGCCTGAGCTAGAGATGAGCTGCGCGGATCCAGTTGATCAGCACCTCAGTGACATCACCCTTGCTGTGCAAGGGGAAGACTGTGGTGTAACGCGAGTAGTCGTCAACCACCAGCAGGAAGTAGCGCTCGTGACCCTGTCCACGAACGCGGGCTGGGCCCCACACGTCCATGTGAAGCGTCTGCTGCGGGGCCTCTGTCGGATGAAACTGGGAGGAGTGAGGGGCAGCACGCTGGCGCCCCTCGACGCAGGGGACGCAGGCAGGGGCCGGCCCCGGGGGAAGGGGAGGGAGGGACCGGGGAAGACCAAAGACAAGGAGACGGGCCGCCATGCCTTGGAGACGAGGCAGGGAGGGGTGACCAAGGCGGTGGTGCCAGAGGAGAGCCTCGTGAGACAGGAGACGACACGTAAAGGGGGCAGACTGAGGACCAAACCTGGACGCTGCAGCAAACACCTGGCCCGACGCAGCTACCCGACCAGACGCAGTGACAGGAGGAGACGCAGTGGTCAGTGTGTACAGGCTCGACCCCGGCTGACGTGTAAACGTGGCCAAGTGTCGGCCCGTACGAGCCTCAGTACAGTGAGTCACCCGCTGGCTCGCAGGAGTGAACTGGTGCACTCCCCCATCCTGTAGGTCAGCCCCACTCACCAAGTTCGTAGAGAACGAGGGGAGGTAAAGACCAGACAGGGTGCCAGAGGGAGCCGCCGGACACGGGAGGACAGTTGAGAAGTGAGCAAGGACAGGACCCCCAGAGGGGTCTGCCAGAGAGACTGCAACTGGCCGACCAAGCGGCGTGAGCGTGGTGCGGTCTCGAAAGAAGGAGCGAGAAGCCCCAGAGTCAAGGGTGAAGGTGAGGGAGGCCGAAGCGGACGCAGTACCTGAGAGAGCAGACTCACCAGCACCTGAGGAAGCAGACGCACTAGCACCTAGAGCAGCAGCCTCGCTAGCACCAAGAGCAGCAGCCTCACCAGCACCTAGAACAGCAATCTCAATGCCCGGGTCGGGCGGAAAACACCGGTAACAGTCACCCTCATCACTAATAGTCACAACATACATGGCAGCAAGAATATCATCAAAGTCAAGGTCGAAGATAACAACCCCCGCCCTAGACAGCTCGCCCCAGCGAGGGATCTCTATGGCGTCAGGGAACTGGTGACGCCACGCGTCCGTCAGACGGCCAAAGCAGCGCTGGGTGGGGTGCACACCCCCACACTGCTCACCCGCATGGTCGCCGGTGCGCAGGACGTAGGTGCACGGACCAGTACCCCCACCCCGCTGGCGTGCAGCGTACCACTCACGGAGCTGCTGAGGGGACATGGTCTCACGGCCGCGCTACTGCTGCTGGCGCGGACCACCACCGGAGCCACTCCTCTGCGCAGAACCGCAACCAGCTCCACCGCCACCTCCGCCGCCTCCGCCACCTCCGCCGCCTCCGCTACCACCGCCGCCTCCGCTCCCTCCGCCACCACCGCCGCCGCCTCCGCCTCCACTGCTGCCACCGGCACCTCCAACCCCTCCACCACCCCCACTCCCACCCCCACCCCCTCCGCCGCCTCCACCGCCGCCTCCACCGCCCCCGCCAGCTCCTCCAGCGCCCTTGCCGCCCTTGCCCTTGCCTGTGCGGCGCTTCCCCGAAGGGGCAGACGCAGCGCCGACCGACTCAAAACCAACAAGGTCGGGCGCAGTAGCAGAAGCAACAGAGGGCAAGAGGGGGAAGGGAGAACACCCCTCAAAGACGGGGGTGCGGGGGTCACCACGAGAGGCTCCTACAGCGACTATGCTCTTTTCCGCTGCTAGGAGGGCCTTCTCGAGGAGGTCAACGGTGAGAGTGGTGGGGCACAATGCGAGGAAGTGGTCCCTGACTACGCGAAGGGAGTCAGGGAGCCGGGTGACTATGTAGTAGAGGGTGATATACATGGGGGGGGGGGTTCTTGGCGCAGAACTCAGCAGGAAGCGCAGCGCGGTAGCGAGTGTCACTAGTGCGAAGGTGCGTAATGAGGTCAGCGACTGTGGGAAAGGCAGCAAGGTCAGGGAAGCGGTACGGTAGCATGAGGCGGCTCAGTGCAGCAGTGGCAGGGGAGGAGTAGCGTGCAACTACAGCGTCGTACAAGGTCTGAGCACTCTTGTACTGACTAAAGTGCGCACGCTCAGAGGTAGGTAGGTGGCGACGCACAGCAAGACGTGCAGGAGCATCGCGGGTGTCCCACTGTGAGCGAACAGTGGCGTCAGCGTCAGCAGCAGGGGCAGGAGAGGCACCAGAGGTGAGGTCAAAGAGAGAGGGACCGTCTGCCCTATCGCACTGTAGGAAAAGCTGCAGGTCATCTACCCATACGTCAAAGTCAATGGCCCGACCCTCGGCGTCAAAACTGAGGACACTAGGGGTAGCCATGACAGCAGTAGACTTGCAGCTCGAACAGCAGGGTAAGGGCAGTGCAGTGACAGAGGCGCTGCTCTTACCGGACAGGGCGGCTCGGGCGGCTCGGGCGACTCGGGCGGCTCGGCGGCTCGGCGACTCGGCTGCTCAGGCGGCTCGGGCGGCTCGGCTACTCGGCGGTACGGCGGCTCGGCAACAGGTGCGGCTCGGCGACTCGGCGGCTCGGGCGGCTGGGGCGGCTCGGGCGGCTCTGGCGGCTGGAGCTGCTCGGGCAGCGGGCGGCTTGGGCGGCTCGAGCAGCGGGCGGCTCGGCGGTGACGGCGGAGCCACGTGGAGACGGTGGCGGAGCCGGAAGAGATGGCGCCGGGGCCGTACAGGTAGGCGACGGGGCCAGGAAGGTAGGCGCCGCGGCCGCAGGTAGGTGACGGGGCCGCGAGTAGGCGACGGGGCCGCAGGTGGCGACGGGGCCGCAGGTGGCGACGGGGCCGCAGGTGGCGCTGGGGCTGCTGGTAGGCGATGAGGCCGTAGGTGGCGACGGGGCCGCAGGTAGGCGATGGGGCCGCAGGTGGTGACGGGGCCGCAGGTAGGTGATGGGGCCGCAGGTGGCGACGTGGCCGCAGGTAGGCGACGGGGCCGCAGTAGGCGACGGGGCCGCAGGTGGCGACGGGGTCGCGGTTGGCGACGGGGCCGTGAGGGGAGGCGGCGAAGCCGCCGAAGGGGCAGCGGCGAGGCCTGTCAGAGGATCGAATTCTCAATCGAAACTTGTCACTAAAACTGAATACAAGGCCTATCTATACTCAGAAAGTACAAGGATAAACGAGATAAAACGAACCTTCAGGAACACACCCTTCCCGATACTACAATCACAAGTGCGCATAAGCACGCAAGTCTATTGGCACTTGGGATTACGCCCAGATTACACCGTATACACCACTGTCGGCGCTGTCGGTGCCGTATAATAGGTATGTCGGTGGGAAAAGTAGGAAATAAGAGAAATAAATAGAAGGCTCTAGAGAATAGAATAGTAGGCCGATTGAGATGAGATAAAGACCAAAATAAAGAGGAGAAAAGGGAGAATGGGATAACGGAAAAATATAATAGTGAGAAAATATTATAACGGGGACGTCCTCTCACACTTCCCCCCCTCAAAGCTGGGTGGTAGAAGTAACACCCTGCTTGACAAGGTAGTCCTGTAGAGGACGGCGGGCGTTATCCATGTCGTGTTCAGGTACCCAGGTATCCTCGGAAGGATCATAGCCTTTCCAACGAATCAAGAACTCCAAGGTGCCGCTACGTCGTCGTCGGTGCGCCAGAACGGCTTCGACTTCGTACTCGGGTTCCCCATTAACGATCACTGGCAGTGGCGGCGGCGGCTGGCGACCTTTGAAGACCGTGTTTGGGTCCCGATAGGGCTTGAGAAGTTGGACATGGAAGGCATTGTGAATTCTCCAGGTAGCTGGTAAACGCAAGCGGAAGGTTACTGGAGTGACCTGCGCCTCGACGAGAAAAGGTCCGCAGAAGCGAGGTCGGAGCTTAGACGGAAGATGGCTAATGTCGAGATTGCGTGTATCCAGAAGCACTTGATCGCCAATCTGGATGGAATGATCGTTGCGACTCCGATCAGCGAGCTTCTTTTGTTGCTGCTGGATAGTCAGAAGACGTTTATGCGTGCGCTCCCACAATTGGTGCATAGTGGAAATGAAGTCATGTGCGGGTTGCACCGTGGCGGGTACTGTTGGTTTCTGAGGCGTGAGTGGGTTGCGACCGTAACAGAGGAAGAAAGGAGTTTGCCCTGTTGCGGCGTGCGTGGCGTTGTTATACGCAAACTCGAGAACCGGCAGATGTGCATCCCATTTAGAGATATCGTCCTTACACGCTGCTCGCAGAAGCTGTTCGACAATCTGGTTGAGGCGCTCTGTCTGACCATCCGTTTAGGGATGATAGGATGAGGACATGGCGAGTTTGGTCCCCATGAGCGACATGAGCTCCTTCCAGAACTTACTCGTGAATTTCGGGTCTCTGTCGGAGATCAACGTGGTTGGAATGCCATGTTGCGAGATGACGTAGCGGAAGAATATTTGCGCTGTCTCCTCGATGCGAGCCGTTGTGTGTGTCGGAATGAAGTGTCCCATTTTGGAGAATTTTTCGATGACGACTAGAATGGCGTCGTAACCAGCTTTGGTAGGTGGTAACCCGGTGATGAAGTCGAGGCTAACCACTTGCCAAGGCTGTTCAGGGACTGGAAGAGGTTGTAGTAATCCTGCTTTCTTCTGTTTGCTGCTCTTCATCCGTTGGCATGTGTCGCACGAGGTGACGAATTTTTGTACGTCATCTGCCATGTGGGGCCAATAATAATGCTTCGCAATACCGGCAAGCGTCTTGTTACTACCGAAGTGGCCCGCGTAGAGAACATCATGATATTCTTCGAGCAGTAACTGGCGTAAGGGAGGGTAATTGGGTACCCATATTTTTGTGGAGCCCTTGCGGTATGCGATGTCTTGATCCCAATGTAGAAGATGGCGCTTTTCTGCTACAGAGACTTCGGGGTCGATGGTGTATCCATGCGTGAAGAGTCCCTTCAAAAGGGGGTTCATGCCATCGATTTGTAAGGTGGCAACGTGTGCAGGGCGACTCAGTGCGTCTGCCTTGTTCTTGTGCCCCGGCTTATACACGATGTCGTAATGGAAGTGGGTTTCGAGAAACTCAATCCACCGGACCTGCCGCCTGGAGAGTGTTGGTTGGGTCTTCAGGTACTTGAGGCTGCAGTGGTCGGTGTAGACAGTCGTTTTTCTTCCTTCGAGATAACACCTCCATGCCTTAAATGCGTTGACGATGGCGAGGGCCTCTTTGTCATGGATGGGGTAATTGAGTTCTGCCCCGTGAAGTTTTTTACTGAGGTATGCAATGGGTTGCAGTCCCTTCCCTTGATCCTGCATGAGTACTGCGCCCACTGCTTGATCGCTAGCATCGGCCTCGATGACATAGTCAAGTTCAGTGTCTGGCAGGATAAGAACAGGTGCGGACGTGAGTGCGGTTTTAAGTTGTTCCACGGCTTCCTGGTGCTTCGCCTCCCATTGATATGGTGTATTCTTCTTCAACAGGTTCGTTAATGGTGCGGCAATCTTGGCGTAGTTCGGTAAGAACCGGTTGTAGTAGTTGGCGAATCCAAGGAACTGTTGTAACTCCTTCACGTTCTCAGGGGTCTTCCACGTTCGCACTGCTTCGATCTTCTTAGGATCCACGTGAACTCCTTGAGCGCTCACCATATGTCCAAGGAACTGGACTTTTTTCAATGCAAACTCGCTCTTGGATAGTTTCACGTAGAAGCGTTCTCGTCGAAGAATTTCAAACACCCGTCGTAGATGCTCAACGTGCTGCTTCATATCTTTCGAGTAGATCAGGATATCGTCCAAATATACCACCACGCACTCGTCCAGAAGGGGCCGAAGGATGTGGTTCATTTCCGCCTGAAATGTGGCTGGTGCGTTAGTGAGTCTGAATGGCATCACGAGATACTCGTATGACCCGTACCGAGTTCGAAAAGCGGTTTTGTGGATAGAGTTGTCCGCCATACGAATTTGCCAGTATCCCGATCTGAGGTCGAGCTTGGAGAATACCGTAGCACCGCGAAGTTGATCGAGTAAGTCGTCGATCCGTGGTATCGGGTATTTATTTTTTACAGTCTGCTTGTTCAAGGCTCGGTAGTCGATGCACATTCGCAGACTTCCGTCTGGCTTCGGAGTGAAGAGAACTGGAGCTCCGTACGGCGAAGTCGAAGGTCGAATCAGCCCTTTCTCCAGGAGATACTCTATTTGTTTTTTCATATCGGCAAGCTCTGTCGGGCTCAGCCGGTATGGTGCTCGAAATGTTGGCTTGGACCCCGGCTCTTCTACGATCTCGTGTTGATGTGTCCGGTATGGCGGTAGTTGATCAGGTAAATCGTCGGGGAGAACGTCCTGGAACTCTTCAAGAATTTTCTTGACTGCTGGAGGAAGTTCCTGGGTCTGCTTCTCTCCGTTGTCTGCCTCGTTGACTATCGCCAAGAATCCCGCCGTGGTCCGTTTGACGTCCTTTTCAAAGCGTGCGAGTGTCTCGACTGGAATATTTCCCGTGTCGTCCCATTTGGGAAGGCTGATTTTCCTCCCGTTGTTGTTGATGTTGGCCGTCTGGTTAACCCAGTTGATCTCGGGGTTGAACTTTTTAAGAAAGTCTCTCCCGAAGATTACGTCGAGTCCTTTGATATTTGTGACGGGGAGAGCAGGCTTCCATCGAAGGGGTCCGATCTGGAGTAGCAACCGTGTTTCCCCGTAGATAGGTAGCTTACTGCCATCCACCATCGTTGCAGAGAAGCTTGAGGACTTGATGTCACTTCCGAGTCGATCGATTGCCTTTTTGTCATAGACGCTGTGCGACGCCCTGCTGTCCACGAGTGCTTGGAGGCGCTGTCCGTTGCAGATCACCTCGAGCAGGAGTGGTGAGCGTTGCTCGGAGTACCCAAAAATAGTCTCATTAATAGGATCATAGGGTACATCCCAATATTCAGTACACACCGTGGTTCCACTGCTTTCTTCTGGACAACTAGCTGGCCTGGGCTGCGTGGAGAAAGGCTCTTCTCCAATGCCAGGAGTAGAGGTAGTAACCGTACAAGTTGACCCTGAGGGGGTGGATCCGGTCGACGCCTGCGATCCACTGGATGCATCCTTGAGGGGTTTTTGGAGTTTCTGCAGCTTCTTTTGAACTCCCAGCTGCCTCTTCAGCTGCTTCAGCTCCATAGACTTCTTCCCTGGGGAGTGGAGAGTCGTCTTGGGCTGGTTCCGGGAGAGGACGTTGATGCCGTGAAAAGGTCTACTCCTTTCCACACTCCTTAATTTTTTCCCCAGCTCCGTAGGCACCGGTACCACTTTTTTAATTGTCTGCTGCCTCTGGAGTTCTTCCCGGAATTTGTTTGTGGCTCCGGACCCGCGAAAATCGCCAGTCTTCATTAAAGCATCTTTGAAAGATAACTTTAACGAATTCTGTTTTTTCCCGGGGTCGAATTGGAGAGTTCCCGTCTTGGTCGAGTCTGTTTTCGCGGAGGTTTTCTTTTCCTCGGCGAATTCCTCTGACAAATTTTGGTCAAGGGGCTTGGGATTTCGCCCTTGATTCTCCAAATCTCACGCCCAATGCTGTCCTTCAATTTCGATTCGGTCCACATTGCGCTGACGCTTTCGGATCTGTTTTTTCTCGCCAGCACGATCCGCAATCACTGGCGAGATCCGTTTTTTGACTTTTTGTCTTTAGTTTCGCCACTCCCACGAGCTCGGAATGCCGCACGTGCAGATTTCATGTGAAAACAGTCGACAATCCGATGTCCGTTTCCGCCGCAAAATTCGCAAAGTGTTTTGTTTTTTGCAGGACGTGAACTCGCGTCGAATTTGTCGACTTCCATGGGGTCGGCGAACGTGGTTGAAGCCGAGCGATCCCCTTGTCGTGATCCGACGACGTGGGGTCGTCGTGTCCCGGAGTTGACCAAGTCAAAGCGCTCCGCGGCCGATACGATTTCGCTGTAGCTGCTGCAATTCGCTGCTGCAACCTGGCGCCGAATGTCGGTTTTCAGCCCCGCGATGTAGGACTGAATTTTTTCGCCCTCGGTAATGTCGGGAATGCGATTATAAAATTCCTCCATCTGCTGCGTGTATTGCGCGACACTCCCGTATTGCCTATGGTGATGTAATTTTTCGCGCGCAATATAAGTGGAATTAATCGGCTCAAAACGTTTGAGAAGGTCTGCCCGGAACTGCTGCCACGTGGCTTCGCCCTGGAAAATGCTACTGTTGCTTCCGAGCCTCTCGAGAGCTGGACCGCGCATCAACGTTGTCGCGAGACGAATTTTCTCGCCGTCGTACTCCGTTGTCGTCCATCCGATCGCCGCGAAATAAATTTCCATCGTCGCGAGCCACCGCCTGACGTCGGATTTTCGATCGCTAGGGTCGAACGATTCCGGCGAGCGAAGTTTCGGAACCTCGAACTGACGCTGCGACTGCTGCGAAGTCGTCGAAGCAGGAATGTTCATGGTCAAGAGGAGCCGCGTAACGCGCTGCAGTTCGTTTCGCATCTGCTCGTTCTCCAATCGCGACCGTTCAGTCGTCGCTCGCATCTCCGCTTCCATCTTGGCGATTTGCGCGAAGAGCTACTGCGTAACGTCGTTGGTCGCCGGCGAATCCGTCCTGTTCAAAAACCTGTTGAGATAGAGGCGAGGAATGGGTGCACTATGAAATGAAACAAGTACAAGTACCAACCCTAATTGGGTTGTACCCCCTATGGGCTACCCCACTACAGCCTAAATATATGCATCCGTAATGTAATCATCTGACACACCCCCATAGGCAAAGTGGGGGAGAGCAAGGGGTCACAAGACCAGTCAAGCAAAGCAAAGCAAAGCAAAGCAAACTCAGGGTGGATCTCAAGGATACCACACAAATTCCGAGCACAAGGTCAAGGCCACAAGGCCAGTTCACATGCACTAGAGCATATATATATAACAGTGCTAAACAAGCAAGAGCAAGGATATATATATGCAGCAGTACAAGCAAGGTCAAGAGGTAAGCAAGTGAGGCCCAGTGGGCACAAGGCCTAGCAGAGTGCAAAAGCGCTGATGGTCACGAGGCGGAAGTGCCTTGGTGAACACATCAGCAGTGTTGGCCTCAGTGGCCACATAACGCAGGCGAAGCTGACCACGCTGCTGCAGCTCTCGAGCAAGGAAGTAGCGCAGAGCAATGTGCTTCGTCCTGTGCTCCAGTCTGTGCTCCTCACACAAGGCAATGGTTGCCTTGTTGTCGACGTACTGCACTGGAGGAGAACGAGGCCGCTCTCCAAGGTCAGTCAGCAGGTAGGTGAGCCAGCGAAGCTCCTGGGCAGCCATGGCCGTGGCGTAGATCTCAGCCTCACAGCTGGAGCTGAGAACCGAAGAAGAGCGAGTAGAGCGCCAAGAGACAGAGCCAGAGCCAAGACTGAAGGTGTAACCCTGAGACGACCTCTGAGTAGCCTGGTCGTCAGCCCAAGAAGCGTTTGAGTGCCCAGTGAGCACAGGCCGCTCACGCCCTCCAAGCACTAGCCCCATGCCCGACGTACTGCACAAGTAGCGCAACACCCTCTTAGCTGCATCCATGTGCTCCTTCCGGTGACGGCCGGGAGCAACATGGCGTGCTAAGATGCTGAGAGGGTATGCGAGGTCAGGTCGAGTGCAAGTCATCAGGTACATGAGGCAGCCCACAAGCTCTGGATACGGACCACTCGACTCTACGGACTCATCCGAAGGCAGAGCTGAGAGCGAGTGTCCCGTAGGCAGAGGAGTGGACTGAGGAGAGGAGTACGTGAAGCCGAAGCGCTGAAGGACCTGCTGCACCATGTGTGACTGAGTCAGGGTAATGGTGCGGC